ACGGAACTCAGGTGCAGGGATACGTTGACTTCGGCAGTCAAATTTGTGCGATACAGGACAAATATGTGCCTTTATTGGGACTCGTTTGTGATTTACGCGACCGCGAGAACATTATCGGTTACGGTGGTGCGAAAATAGAAACATTAGGTGCCGTGAAGGTCGAAATTAAGATCGACGAGGTCAAGGCCATGACCAAAGTTTATGTGGTTCCAGCTGAGTGTCAACGAATTCCGATATTAATTGGGCAATATTAATTGTGAAGGTAATTAAAACACCTACACAATTGGAATTCAGTGAACTACCCCATACGGAACGAAAAGGTGAAATGAAGACAGTCCTATGGGCGCAAGAAGCGTCCGTTATTCCGAATAACTTCCTAGGTCATATTATGGTGAGAGGTGACCTTACAAGTGCCGAATTATGCATCGAGAGTGAATTAAAAGATTTAGGAGGAATCATCCCGAGATGTGTGGTCAAGACAGACGACAATGGCGAAGGTGTGGTACCTGTCTTAAACATAAGCGGAAAACCTGTGAACATTGGTAAAGATAGAGGGATTGCACGTGGTGAGTGTTGCGTAGAAGGTAACCAACGGCGAGAGGTAAATCAAGAACCGGTGGTTGAAGCAGAAGTAAATATTGAGGTAACTAGCGATGAGAAAGACCAGCTAATGTCTTTATTGAACGAATATAAAGACTTAGTGGCCAGAAATATGAAACAGTTGGGATGTACAACGCTGGTTGAGATGGATATCCAGCTTGAAGACGATCGACCCATCTACTATCGACCGTACCGAATGGCGTACAGCGAGAGAAGGAAGGTTCAGGAAATAGTGGAAGAACTCAAGGATGCGGGAATAGTAGAAGACTCTTTTTCACCATTCGCGAGCCCTGTGTTATTAGTGAAGAAGAAAAGTGGTGATGTGAGATTGTGCGTGGATTATCGTTCTTTAAATAAGAAGACAGTGAAAGAACATTATCCGTTACCACGAATAGACGATCAATTGGATAGACTTAAAGACCAGGTATTTTATACGTCATTAGATTTAAGCGGAGCGTATTATCAAATTCCCTTATCTCAAGAGTCTAGAGATAAGTCAGCGTTTATAACACCTGACGGGGTGTATAATTTTAAGAGAATGAGTTTTGGAATGGCTAATGCCCCTTCTCAGTTTCAAAGACTAATTAACATTGTTTTGGGAAATCTCAGGTATGACACTGCTATGGCATACCTGGATGACGTAATCATTGCATCGAAAACTTTTGAAGAGGGGTTAGTCAAAATAAGAGAGGTGTTTGAAAGGTTTAGGGACGCAAATTTAACCTTAAATTTAAAGAAGTGCTTTTTCTTCATGAGAAAAATTGATTACTTGGGCTTTACAATTTCGGTGCATGGTATTGAACCCGGTGAGCATAAAGTAAAGGCCGTGTCTGATTTTCCGATACCTACTGACATACACAAGGTTAGATCTTTTATGGGGTTAGCGAGTTATTTTCGTAGATTTATAAAATCATTCGCGACCATTGCTCGACCAATAAGTGATTTATTACGCAAAGGGGAGAGCTTTGTTTGGGGAGAGTCGCAACAAAGAGCATTCGATAAAATTAGAGACACATTAGTGAGAAAACCAGTATTATGCGTGTACGATCCGAGCGCGAGGACAGAATTGCATACTGACGCTTGTTGCATAGGTTTAGGGGCTGTTTTGATGCAGGAGCAGGCTAATGGTAAATTGCAACCCATAGCTTATTACAGTCGTAAAACAAGTCGAGAAGAATCTCGGTACAGCAGTTTTGAACTCGAAGGATTAGCGGTAATAGCGGCCTTAGACAAATTTAGAGTATATCTATTAGGGATACCTTTTGTAATCAGAACGGATTGTAACAGCTTAAAATTGTTGGCGAAAAAACGAGATATGAATCCGCGAATAGGACGTTGGTTCGTAAAACTATCGGAGTTTAATTATACAATAGAGTATCATAAAAGCGAGTTCAATAAACCAGCTGACGCGTTGAGTCGTAATCCAGTGGAAAAAGATGACGAAGTACCATTGACGGGACTTCCTATTTTGGGAATTAGAATTAATACTGACTGGGTCGCGGCCTTGCAACGTACGTGTGACGAAATAAAAGCAATCGTAACTAAATTAGAAGAAGGTGATCAAAACATTCACCAAAAGTTTACACTATATAAAGGGAGGGTTTATAAAGTTAAAGGAGCGATATGGCGGTTATATGTACCTGTGGATTTGAGGTACGATATAGTAAGTGAAGCGCACAAGGAGTTAATGCATCTGGGTATTGACAAAACATTAGCGAGAGTCAAGGAAAGTTATTATTTCCCAAAGATGCGAGAGTTTGTGACAAGCTATGTCAATAGATGCATCAACTGCCTTTATTATAAGACACCAAGAGGTAGACAACCGGGATTTTTACATCCATTAGAAAAAGGTCGGCAACCTTTTGAGGTAGTACATATTGATCACTTAGGACCATTCATTACAAGTGTAAATGATAACAAATACGTAGTAGCACTTATTGATGGGTATAGTAAATATGCAGTTATGAAAGCAGTACCGAATGTAGGAGCTACGGAAACGGTGAAGTTCGTGAGGGAGTTTATAACAAATTACGGGAAACCAGATCGAATTATCACAGATAGGGGTACAGCATTCGTGTCTCGTGAATTTGAGGTATTCTGTGAGAATTATAACATCCAACACATTCGAATTTCGACGGGCGTACCTAGAGCCAATGGTCAGGTTGAAAAACTGAACAGCATGATTATTAGTTGCACTTCGACTAGTACCAGTGATATAGAAGGCAACGATTGGGATGTGAAATTGCATGAGGTACAATGGGCAGTTAATAACTCAATTCATGCGGTAACAAAAAGTTCTCCGTTCAGCTTAATATATAAGTACAAACGCGACGGTTTTAGTAGTAACCCGTTAGCTCGCGAGATTAAAGAAGTAAACGATCGAGTAGGAAATACATTACCGGAAATACCTGTCGATGAACTTTTAGCGCAAAATCGCGAAAAGATGGAAAGGCAGTTCAATAAAAAGAGGAAAACACCGCGCGAATATAATCCTGGGGACTTAGTACTGATTAGGGCGGAAGTACCAGCCACTGGCCAAAGTCGAAAATTAGAACCCAAGTATAGGGGACCATATGAAGTTGTAAAGTCTATAGGTAACGATAGGTACTTAATACAAGACGTACCTGGTGAGCAACAAAGCAATAGGTTTTATAAAGGTATTATATCAGTAGATCGACTTAAGTTAGTGCGGGAGAAGTGAATAAGTTCGTGTGTGAAGTGTTAGAGTTAAGAAATATTTTTGTTAATTTAGCCATATAAGTTGTGTTACAGTTCTTGAGGACAAGAACTAGGTCAGGAAAGGCCGAATTGTTATAATATTTTTTATTAGGATATTTTTGGAAGAGTTCGTTAAAACCGTTGAAAGCGATGAAATCATTACAAACGAACTTTTCTACAATTAATGCATAATTATGACCAGAGCGAATTGGGAAACAACGGTTCTACAACGGATTTAACAATATCGGTTACGATTTAGTTTAAATGAGATTGGTTGTAGGATCAACTGTCGAATGAATATTTTGAATATGATTGGGACTTTGTATGATTGAGAGGGAGAATGCGAGTCTTTATAATTCTAAGTTAGTTTAAGAAAAATCAGTACTTCGATAGCAAAGAGTCATGAGAGGTGACTAGTTTGTAGAAGTGCTCAATAAAGTAAAAGTGAGTACTTCGAGAATTAAGAGTCATGAGAGGTGACTAGTTCTTCAGAAGTGCTCAGTGGAGCAAGTTAATGTACCTATACGATATAGTGAAATAAAGGAACATAATTCAGAGCAATTAGTGTTATTTCGAAAAGCTCTAGTTATCTCATGAGGAGATAATTGGACACAAGAAAAGTTAGAGTTGGTGATTTTAGTGTGTATTTTTATAGCAATTTCTCAAAAAGCGGGAAATTGTTATATCATTAGTAATGTGAATTTTGTGAAATAAAATGGAAGTGTAATTAATTTTTACTATATTCGAAGTAAAAATAAATTTAAGACAGCGCAGATTAATTTTATTGTTTCATAAATTATGTTCCTAGCGTCCAAGTTCTCCCCGGCACTACCTCTTAGTTGGGGATGATTATGATTTTTTTTAATCGTTAAGAGAATAGATTAGATAAAAATTAATGCTAAATAAACCTAAAATATCAACAAACATGCACCTCCAACAATAAAAATTGTCCAAACCAGCCCCGGCCTACCTTATATCTTCAAAATCTATAAAAATACGTGTTTGCGTTGGAGGTTGGTTGGTTCTAGTTTTTGTAGACGCATAAATAATTCGCCAATATTTATCAAATTAGCCTAGGTAATTTACATTTCACTTATGCAAATAGAAAATGTGTTTTTAAAAATGAAATTAGTAAAGGCATTAATTAGCATAATTTGATTATTTGTTTGCGTCAGTGCCAGGCAGCCTAAAAAAATAGTCGGCAATTAATTAGGAATATAAGCAAAGTAAGTAATGTGCTTGACGTTATCACCGTTTTTGTCAATTCTTGGATAAATAGTTTGTGAAATTATCGATGTCCGTTGCTACTAGTACCTAGCCCTACGAGATATCGGCCCATGTGTTGATAACGTTGAATTGTTACGAATCTAAACCAAGTAGCAGTAACTGCTCACAGATATATTTCCTGTGATAAATTTAAGCACACAATATAAGTATCATTTACATTTTACATTACAGAGGCGTGGAAGTAAAACTCTATATTTTTGACATAATTATAATAATAAAGTGAATACTAACGAACGATATTTTTTTTTGTAAAGACTAATAAAAACATCATTAAGCAAGTTGGTTATAATTTATAGAGCTCTGTTATTACGAAATGTTTCCAGGAACATACTTCCCACACATCGGTACGCTACTGGCAGTCAAACTAATAAAACTGTAGTCAGTCAGTCACACATGGTTTAGTGTTGAGTGATCGCTTTAGAATTAACTGGTGTTCATTACGCTAGTATTACATAAATACCGAGATGTTTTTTTTAATAATATTCGTTTTTATTTTATTGGTGCTTTATGTGATAAAAGAGATGAAAAGGCCGCAAAATTTTCCTCCAGGTAATATTCCTTTCCCACAGTCATGTTTAATTAAATTTATATTTTTTAATGGTCGTTATTAGACCAACTATAAATAATTTAAAAAATGCTTACTGGAGAAATAAACGCTTAATACCTAGTACTATTCAGTCAATTCGGATTTGAAAAATTGGAAACCATGCATTTTGGGCAGGCAACGATTTTTCGCAGGGGAACCAGCAGTGGGCGTAAAACTGAATTTTCTGGGTTGGGAGTGTTGTCAATCGCCAATATTTTGAAAATAAGGGTGCTAATCGTGAGTCCGATAAAAATTTTATGAAGAGTATTTTTTTAGATAATGCATTTATCTGCAACTTTCATTAACAATTTTTCGGAATACAATTACTAATAAAGTTGTAGTTTATTACCACAAAAATGAAAGACTAGGGGATGAAAAAGTTTAAGACGAGATAACTCTTGTACATATTTTCAATCCTACGAAAAAATTATTCCCACCTTTTTTATAGACCACTCCCAAATTACATTTTACTTCCTGAGCGTAAGCTAAGAAAGTACATATTGTCATCGAGCCCATCATGGGTCTGTCTGACTGTCCGCTTCCGTGACGATTTTTGTTAAACTGATAATCCCCGAAACTACTGGGCCGATTACTGTCAAATTTTATATGTATATTATGAATATCATGTAGATGGTAAAACGCTAACCAAATTTTGTCTAGTCATCCCGACCAACAATGTGATGACGTCACCTCAGAAGTGTACATATAGTAAATGGATTTTAAAGTGTATAAAATATCATGGTCTTATTACACATGTAGTTTATGAATTCGTGTTGGTTTTTATCTGAAACGTCCAGATTTTTGGAAAAATAAAATTATATAGGAGTAACATTTTCCAATTTAATTTTTAATCTACAAAACCAAATGTTTTGAAACTTTGCAGATGTTTTAAAGTTACCATAAATACGGTACATTTTTATTCAAAATATATTTGCTTATCCCTTCAAAAAATTAATAATGTCGCCTCAAAATTTTGCCAAATACCTGAATCCTATCTAAAATGTGCAAAATATTATGAATCTATACTTATTGTTATTATCCCTTAGGGTGACTGACGAAAATTAATGAAAGAGTCAATCTATTTTATAGATTAAATCACAAAACCAAATGCTTTTAAGTCTTGCAGGCGTTTTGTAGTTATTGTAAGTATGCCTAAGTTTTTTAATCAAAATATATTTGTTTATTTTCCCAAAAAATTAAAAACTCATTTGAAACATACGCATAACACGCTTCTTTACATTTGTTTTAACATTACTGTGGCGGCACAATAGCACGTCGGTAAGCAGAGAAAGTGGTTAGGATGCTTGCCCGAAGAGCGAGAGGCGTGGGGTTCGAATCCCACCGAGGCACATTTTTCTCTGCTTACCTACAATTACATACATATGTTTATTTCAACTTACAGGGGTTCCCATAAAAAAAAATAATTTCGCAATATTAAATTTTCCAGTTTTTCAAAAAAGCTGGATATGTTTCATTGTACTTTAGGTGCAAGGAAAGTTCTGTCGAAACAGCGTTCGACCAATTTTTTTATAATTTTTAAGAGTGGCCAAAGTAGGTAAGCCTATGCACTTTAAAACAGTATTTAGAAAATGCACTGCCGATGAAAACTCTGTTGTAGGAGGTAAATGTTTAAAAGTTCTATAATAAAATTTTGAATAAAACAAATCCTAAATGATAGATATTAATCTTGTAAAACGATACTTTCTTCCATTTCCCATAAATCTTCCGTTTTCCCCCTTACGTAATTAAATTTTAATTAATTTATTATTTTAATTTTTGTCTGAACTTATACAATAGTCTTTTTTTAACGTTAAAAATACAAGAATTAGCTTCCCTCAAAAATTTTCCTTCCCCAATTTTCCAGATTTTCTGATCATAACTTTCTTGTTTATCAATATTACGCTAAGAAGTTATTCCTAAGATATAAGATAATTGCACTCTTATTTTCAAGATGGCAGCAGAATGACAACAGATCCAGTCCGGTCAAAACGCAAAAGTTCTGAGCTATATTTTGACTTATTAACAGACGTTCAGAACACTTGCAACGTGCAGAATCGAGTTTTTTCGAGAAAAGGAAACGATTTCCACGTTCTGGCGTTTGTAGCTTCAAGGAATTCTTTTAAAAACTCCAGAGCTGTAACTTTAAACACTTTCTCTAATACTTTTTAGCAGTTCCTCTATAGACTGTGTCTATAGTTTCCCCAGTTCTAATTCGGTTTTATGATACTACCCCATTGTGTAAAAGTTAACTTTTTTAACAATAGATTATTACTGCCGGTAGTGGGACAGTCATAAATAAGGATTTAACCACTATACGGTGTAATGGTAACGGTAAAAACCGAATTAAAACTGGGGAAACTATACCCAATGAGCTCGAAACTATCATGTCGAACTGATTACAACCATAAAACTGTTAAATTATTATGTAATCAGAGTAAATTGTAGGACAAAATTAGTAAAATATAACAAAATCTATAGATATACGTAAATTTGACAAATACATAACAAACTATATTTATTATTGGATTGGTATACATATAAAATGTCCGACTTTGTGACTGAATACTTTTTTCATAACCTAAAATCATTATCATTACACTAACTGGTAAACATTTTCATAATTCTGCAGTCATGTTCTACTAGCATCCTTAAGGATACTTATTAATTAATAAGTAAACGCGCTTGTTAAAAGACAATTAAATTGTCATATAGCAGTGACAGTTTCGAAAAGACTTGACAATAATGAATAAATAGAACAGAACGCATTTACAACATATAACCCCTACAATTTTACTACCATCGTTGTAAAAATTATAACTTAATCGTGTCTTAAGCCTTCACATATCACGCAAGAACATGTTTTTTTTTTTCTCATATGACTGACGAATAGAAATTCAATTAAAATGGTATTGGTATTATGAATTTACAGCGTAGAAAACCAAATTAACTAAATGTAGGTAATTTTCTCAGTTCTTGTTAAAAATTGGTGTCTTAAATCTTAAAGTTGAACTGACCAAACTCCAATACTCAGGCAAGTACGGTGATTCGAACAGAAGTTCAGAGTTTGTTTTTTGTTTGATCGTTCATTAAGTAGAAGTTATGGCATAACTTCTAAGTAACTCCATAATCAAAGATTTTTATCGCAACGACCTATTTATTTAACAAAAGCACAGAAAACACGTGAATATTTAATACCACCAGTTTTGCAAGGTTTTACCTCCAGGCCATGGAAATAGGATTCTACCTCCATGTACGAGACAAAAATAAGCAAATAACTATACTTTCAAACAGGAATTTTACATCCTGCATCTAAATCTGTTTTCCAAAAAATTCCAACCTGTGTCAGTTTTGGTTGTACCTCTACATTATTATATTCATTAAAACTTGTTTTTTTCTTTTTTGTTTACAAATACATTTTTATAACTGTAAAACGAAAAAGACAAATAGATGTTATTTTCATGTTTGGATATAAAATATTGCCAAAATTTGTAAAGTAGGGTCATTGTTACTCAACCTTCACCGTATATATCAGCACGTATTTCATACCACTTGTTTGTAAAGGTTTACTAATTGACGTCATAAAGACAACAACTTCATAATTATTAATTTTATTGTTAAATTGTTTACAAGAATGTTCACACTTACGGGCCAGTTTATAGAACATTTTAATTGAGATTAAATTAATCACGCATTTAATGAGGCGTTTCACGATGTCAGATTGGCGTAGAGGCGGTCACGTGGTACTTCAGCGCTAGATTAAAAATGTAATCGCAATCAAATATGTAGTTGAGCCTCTGTAAACCAAATCTACATTTATAGTAATTAACAAATTAATATAAATTCAAAAGGTACTAAATAAATCTGCACTGAACAATTTGCTTTGAAAGGGATACGTTATGAACTGTACTACAGAAGTAAGGGAAATTTTCATACTTAGATGAGCAGATTCGGTCAATAAATCTGACTGTGATGATTTTTAAATCAGGTGTTTGATTATTAAGAATAAGAAAAAAGCTTTTGCGTGCTTTGCCCTAATAAGTATTTATTGCTACATATTAGGTTCCGGTTTAATTTTATTTTTGAGTTTTTCAACTTTTTTCTACCCTTCAATTTGAGTAATCTAAATTTGCTGAACACTGGATTTTCCAATATTATCACTTTTAGGTCCTATGTGGTTACCATTTATTGGTAATCTGCACGAACTGAAAAAATTGTCCAAATTTTTGGGAGGTCAGCATCATGCACTACAAGAATTAGCTCATAAATACAACACTAATGTACTAGGATTAAAATTAGGAAGCGAGTACATAGTTACTGTTTTTACCTATCCTCTTATCCGAGAAGTTCTAACTAGTGAAGAATACCAAGGAAGACCTGATAATTTCTTTTTAAGACTGCGCTGTATGGGAAAAAGAAATGGTAAGTTTATTCTCTAAAAATACAGCAAATATATCGAATCTACATTTTTAGGCATTACGTGCACTGATGGAGAAATGTGGAGTAATCAACGAAATTTTGTTAATCGCCACTTAAGAAATTTAGGTTTCGGTAAAAAACAAATGGAAGAAATGATACGAGAAGAAGTGGTTGAAGTACTGAACATTTTGTACACCGATGGAGGCGATATTAATGTTGACAAGTTCTTAGCACCCAGTGTTCTAAATGTTATATGGGCATTAATAACGGGTGAACGAATATCTAGGGACGATAGTCAATTAAAGGAGTTGTTAGATTTGTTCAATCGTAGATCTAAGGCCTTTGATATGACTGGTGGTACTCTTTCCTTGTACCCATGGCTGAGGTACATTTTACCCGAATGGAGTGGTTATAATTTAATCCAAAGGGTGAATGCCAATATGAAAAATTTTTTCATGAAAACCATTTACGAGCACCAGCAGTCGTGGAAAGAAGGAAAAAATGATGATTTAATATATCGATATATTTCTGAAATGAGAGCAAACAATAATGATGATGAAGATTTTATTGGTAGTAAAAAATAAAAAAAAAATCAAAAGTAGATTTAAATACTTGGCCATTTTTAGAGGAACAGTTGGTAATGATTTGTTTAGATTTATTTATTGGGGGTGCTCAAACGACCAGTGGAACATTAAATTTTGCTTTTCTTTTAATGATAATGTATCCTGATATACAGAAAAAAGTACAAAACGAAATTGATGAAAATTTTGAAAAAGGATCTATTATAGACTATTCCGAAAGACATAAGTAAGTTTATATTGCATCAGTGACATAGTACTTTTTAAAATTTTTAAGAGTTCCTTACGTAGAAGCAGTATTAATGGAAATTATGAGGTTTCGCCATGTGATTCCGGTGAGTGGTCCCAGACGAGTGATGCAAGAAACCACTTTAGATGGATATACCATACCAAAGGATACTACGGTTTTAATAAGTTTATATTCAGTTCATAATAGTCCGGAATATTGGAATAACCCTGAAATTTTCGAACCAGAACGATTTTTGGATGAAAAGGGTTGCTTAATAACCAATGAACGGCTTCTTCCATTTGGACTAGGTATGATATCAGCGTCAACAGACTAATAAATACTGTCACATTTTTTAATTCGTGTTGATAAATTGGTATTATTACAGGGAAAAGACGTTGTCTAGCGGAAGTTTTAGCAAAAACTTGCATATTTATGTTTTTTGTCGAAATTTTAAGAAAATATACAGTTTGTCTTGCTCCAGGATCAGAACCGCTTACTGAAAAATATATTCCTGGAATAATATTGTCTCCTACACGTTATCAAGCAAGATTTGTAGCAAGGACAACAAATATATGAATCGTAACCGCGTAACTTAGTGTATATTTACTTAAATTGAAATTGTGTATTATTTAGAATTGTCATAAAATTTGCAAAAGATCTCATCCTTAACGATTATTTTTGATGAAAATATCTAACAGTATAGAATCAAGTGATATGACTTAATTTAATTCGATATTTGTTTTTTAATAAAAGTAGATATATTTTGTAATTTTTTCTACTTTTTAAGTACAATCGAATTACCTATTTCCTGTGTTCCTGGAATAATTTATCGTCTTTAGGGCCTAATTTCAAGTTGACTTTGTGTCTTTATACAGTGAAAATATAAATCTGCACTGTGCTAACTACTAATATTAGAAAAATTCTCGTAAAATCTCAAAAACTAATCAAGATAAGATTTTGAAAAAATAATATAATTATAATTATATTATAATTAATTTTGTAGGTTATAGGTGCATGGTTTAGGCCACCTATTTCTCTCACATTTATTGTTAGACCATTAATGCTTAAATTGTAGCAATTGACTTCTACAATTTTACAAGGTTATAAATTCTTTGCGATTACTTATATGTCTTCTTCTAATCAAAGTCGAAACGCTTGTTAAAGTTTATTCATACAACCCAATGAGTTAGGAAAATTTCAAACGAATTCGTTACACACTTTTTAAGATGATTTGTTCTCAATTCAATACCATAACACAATGAACTAGTTGAAGTTCAATTTGCAACAATGTTAGCAAGTTGCTCATATCTTTTTCTTTCTAAATTCTCGCTTATTAAACTATTGAAAATTAAGGAGAGCTCGATGGCCTTGGTCAGAGTCATCGATCTCGTAACCGTGGATAATGTTTCTTTTGTAGTTTTTAGTTTTGTAAGCTGAAATTATTTTATGTACCTATCTTTTTTAACAATTGTTTATGTGTATAAATAGAGGTGGATACTGAGCGATAGCATCAAGAACATAAATCGTTCTACACATCTGATCTGAAATTAACTTAACAAAATTTTGCAATAAAAGTCATCAGTTTTTTGTCAATATGAATACATAGACTTTCATTTACTTACATTACTTAGTTTTTTTTTAATAAATAATTGAAATTTCGCACTGAGAGAAAAAAGGAAACAACGCAACACCCCGAATCTGAATTTGAAAAATTGGAGAATAAAATCAATCAATAAAGTAGACAATCATGCATTTGGACTAGCAGTGGGATTTAGATGGGTTTGGTGTAAGGCTTTTCGGAATGCGGAATAGGTAAAAAAAATTTGGATAATCTGCTTCTTGTGTAACAGTGCTAGTTGAAACATGTGTAAATTTTTTTCGTAAAAGAGCAGTTGTTTAAACAACAATGAATCGCATTCGACGTCACAGTTCCCTCCAACGAGTGTAATTAGTGCAAGTTTATTAATGATTTTCTAACCTGAAATGTGTAAAATTTTCGCGAATTCGTCAACATGTAATTTTTATTTTCTGATGCAATGTTTGCAACAGTAAGTAATAGAAAATGTTCATGTAAAAAACACGTGGCTAAAAATTTACTTATTCAGGTTTCACTAATTTTTGTCACAATATATCACAATTACTGGTTATTTCTACTGCCGTTATTACATTAACCACATTTCATAAACTTCTCACTGGAGATTTATAATAGTTCTAAGTATTTAAACTCATCTAAAACGTTGAACACTGGTTGAATCATTTTAAGAGAAAAGACCTTGAAAATTTTCATCAGTCAAATTTATAACATCTTCGCCCGGGGAACTGGGGACGTAGCGTTTAATTTCTGTTTGTATTTTTGATGTTTTTTGTGTATAACCGTTCGACAAACTGAATTTGGAATTTTATGAGATATTGAAGTTTTAAAAACACAAAACACGTGATGCAAACCTTTCACCAAAATTAAATAAAAAAGGATGATACTCTATTTAAAGCATTGGTCTAAGGAGTTTAGACAGAACTTTCCTCGCTGTTGGAAACGTGACGACTGCATCCCTATTATGTTTTTTTCTCGCATTAAATTTTTGTAGCGGGCCATTTTAAAATAAATTGAGTATTAATTTTCTCAATTTTTTTCATTATTTGGCATTGACATCTTTTAAATTTTTTTTCTGTGATTGCTATGATTGCTTATTAAAAAAAATTAAATTGGACGAAGTCGTATCTGGGGTGTATAATATGTTGCCTATGCAAAAATTGTCAGGCGTGAACAGATAAAATGAACACCCTGTATAGTGCTTGTAATTTAAGACAAATAGCCATTACACTTGTCAACCTGTAGACGTGACGGTGAAACACAAACTAAACTAAAACATGTTTTCTAAGAATTGCAATAACCGGATGACAATGCCGACGGTGTAGACTTGTTTATTGCTCTGACTTCCGTATTGTGATAACCCAAACTTCCCGCCGTAAAATTTGACCTTGAGACAGTTTGAAAGGCCCGCGAAAAATTCAAAAATTCAAAGTTTGGCCTTGGCTATGATCGTCTAACAAATAGGAACCTACGTTGTGTTTTTTTTGTTTTGTTTTTGAAAAATGGCGGGAAGACGTTCTTTCATACAAGTGCATACACTGTCGAGAGCGCAAGAAATAATAGACAAAAATTGGTTTGGAGGGGGAGAAACGGCAACACCCTCACAGGGGGAAAGACGCTGCGAAGAATTACCCCTCAGCGTAAAAACCCCCTTTGGTTTTATTCCCGGACGACATATTATTACATTTCAAACACCTTAAGATATGGGAAAGAAAAACACTCGCGAATTGACAGACATACACACACGAAAAACGAACAAACGGAAATTCTGTACATCTGTTTGGAATCAATGCAAATATTTGAATATCACAAATTTAATAAAACAAAGCAAAAGCTGAATCAAGTAACTGGATGCAAGTACACAAGTTATTACAGGCATGTGGCGGCCGATCTCCTTTTCCTTTTTTTTTTTTTACGGCAGTTAACAGGAGCACAAGAAAAGTACCCCTGGAGCGTTGTAGCATAAGCGGAGTCTGAGCTACCGGTCTGGAACTGTTCTCCCCCCGCGACGATGATTCTATCTATCGCAAAGCCTACCCCACACGCATATCCCATGACGAACTTTGCCCTGCGGAACTAGGCCATTACGGTCGTCCTTCCCGCAAAGATCTCGACTACTGGGCCAAATCGAGAAATTCACAACGTCGGCGGCCGCCCCCTGAATCTATCCAAACCTGTGGACTTGTACAGGTGGCGCGATAAATCTCGCCAGCTCGACTAGGAACCAAACCTCGCTTCTGCCACGTTTTCTGTGTCATTTAACCTCAATTCCATTTTAAAACATTCAATCTCTTATAACTCTGATGTTAACAACAACTGAACAAGTGTTAAAGTTTCAAAGAGCAATAAACAACATTTAAATTCGTCATACAATCTTGTGAAATCTTAAACAACAAATAATTCTTATGTGGGATTAAAGTTGGACATCAAATAATTTATATGATAGAAAACATTCATCAACAAAGTATTTACAAAACAAAACTTAGCAAGGATTTATGAGACGAAAGATCTGGTGTGAAATAAACTTGTACAAATAGAAATGTTATGTGAGGTTAGAACTGTAGAACATGAAATTTACGTTCAATTAAATTTATACAACAAATAAAATTACTGAGGTTAAAATTGTGAGATTAAAGAAATATTGTATGATGTGAAAATTTGCAGAGTTAACAAAATTTACAGGAGATTAATATTTGCCACACTTTATCAACGGTTCAAACAAAGAGTTTACATCATGCCAAATTATATCATGATCTAAATGATTGGTTACTTCAAAAATAATTTACTTTGAGAAGTTAAAATACTACGAACTGGTTACCCCAACAAAACACATAATAAACAAATACAAAAATATCCAATCATCGCTCCGAGGGAAAAAGCGTCTCGGTGATGTAAATATCCAAAATCGTTGCGAGGAAAAAGCGTCTCGATAACGTAAATTTTCTGTAGCGTTGGGGGCATGCCTTAATTAATTAATCAATCTGGCGTTGCGAAACATGCCCCGATGAATTAATCGTGATAACGATGATAACCACCTAAGGGGAGAAAATATCATAACCCCCCGCCAGTCCGCAGTATAATGAACTTGTTTAACTGCCGTAAATGAACTATTAGCAATCTTGTGTGAAGAATTTAGAAGTGTTATAATGTAACACTTACGTATATGCATCCAGAGACCTATTCGTAATTAAACATAAGGTGTTTTTCCTGACTAAGTGAATTTCATGAAATCTTCTAGCAAATGGTTAATTTAAATAATCCTGATTGTTAAATTGTGTTTGCACTAGCTGACTATTAAGAAAAACTAGCTTGATTGGTGAATTTACAAACAAAGAAACAGATTCACAACACGTGTTCGCGTCCGACCGGAAGTCTGCAATTTTCGATTAAAAGGGCGCAAGAATTTAACGCGCGGGTTGGGGACAACTGTATCATTATGAAAAATACGTGTGATCGTCGTTAAACAAAGGCTTCCTCCCGTTTTATTAACTACCAAACCAACTAATTTAAACCTAGTTCTTACCACGTTGTTACACTTACACCAAACACACCAGAATGACACATTCTACCGCCATCCCGCTTTTCTACCAACCCTCTAACTGAAATTACCCTAGCGCTACGTGCTGCCATCTAACCCAAAGATCATGCAAACTAACTCCTAAGCGCTACGTGCATTAGACCATCCATGCATATTTGGTTGCCTATGTTTAAGGATTTCCTTTTTGTGATTGAACTCTTTTTTTTTTCAAATTAAAATTATTCAAATGTGATTTCGCGCCGTTGTCAATTAATTTCAGCGCGAAAAGTTTGATTTAAATTCGGTCACCACAGTATATTGAATAAAACACTACATTTTATTTGATTTTTAGATTTGGTTAATTATAACTTGTCTGGATCTAGCGGAGCATCTCCTAGCCTACCCCTAGCTACGGCCTTATGAAATATCGAGAAAATTTGAAAGTACGAAATTGAGCAATGAACTCCATTACTGTAAATCCTTAGGTTATCCTCGATAAGGAAAATAACTTGAAAGTGTTTATCTTTATACATCGGTAGAATGTCACGTAGAAATTAGTTTGATTTGAATGAGTTCGTCCTCTCAAAACAGAAGATCAAAACAATAAACTAGTAATTAACAAATCGACAAAATGTTCTGAATATCATTATTATAATTTTTATTAAATAAAGACGTTTGTATTTTCACATTTTCGGGAAAATGGGGTGACTCGTTCTTAAATTGATCAATAAAAAATATGAATGCTATGATGAATCACAAGTAAAAACTCATCATATTTTGCACATTTTAGGTAAAATTTATTCGGCAAAATTTTGAGATAACGTCAGCTATTTTTTGGGGGAAATAAACAGATTTATTTTGATTAACAATTTACCATGCTTACAATGACTTTAAAACGTCTGCAAGATTTCAAAGTATTCAGTTTTGCAATTCTTGATTTAATCAATAAAATAAATGACTCAAGCAATTTTTTTAGGCAGCCCGTATAAGCAAATCTAAAAAATATTAATGCAGTGATAAATCACAAGGATAGACACAAACATCATTCTTTACACATTTCAGGTAGCACATTTTTTTCAGAAAAATTTTGGCCTGGCGTCATAAATTTTTTAGGGGGGATGCGCAAATACATTTTGATCAAAAATTTTCCATGCCTATGATAACTTTAAAACATCTCCAAGATTTCATAAAGCATTCGATTTTGTAGTTCCTGATTAAATCAATAAAATAAATTCACGCATTCATTAATTTGTTGGGTCATCCTGTATATGCAAACAGGCGCGGATACAGGATTTCGTTTGGGGGGGGGGGGGGGCAATTTTTGTGCGATTTTACCTATCTCCCAGAAATTCATTCTAAACAAAAAAAATTATAAAATTTTAGCTAGTATACTCTTTTTCACATAACATGGGTGACATTTGGTTGTTTTCGTTACACGTATAGTGTACAGTAGAACCTCGATAATCCGAATTAATTGGCAAAAAGGGGTGTTCAGATAACGATTTGTTCGGATCAGCGATTTTCCTAAAAATCTGAAAGGGAATTGAATAACAACTTCATACACAGTTGAAAACAAACTTCAAGAAATAAACCTTAATTTTATTAAACAAAATTAAAGAATTTTTAAGCAACAATGGATAATAGATACATTCTAAAAAAATATTACTCCGTGACCATAGACACGCTATCTTTTTGGAATCAACGCACCGGGACCTATACCCTGAATTTTTTCAGAATTTTTAGATGAATTTTACAAAAATAAATGCAAATGCAAATTTCGACCCATTCTCGACGATTTTCGAAATTTAACTAAATACATTTTCCTGTAGATTTTGGGCCTCAGAAGTTACTTCTGGCTTTATTTCTTCGATAACTTAAACTATTTTTCCAGATTCGTCCAGTTGAAATATCGCAATTTTTAAAAATTTCGAAAAATTCGAATTTCACACCGAATTTTCCGAAAATATTGCTCGGTTACCATTAACATGCTATATTTTTGGAATTAGCACGTCGGTATATGCATATATCCCTGAATTTTTAGGAAACTTTTTCAAAAATGAAATTTTCCTTATGCAAATTTCGACCCATTTTGGACGATTTTCGAAATTTAACTAAATACTTTTTCTTGTAGATTTCGGGCCTGATTTTTTCGATAACTTCAACCTTTTTTCCAGAATTAGTTAATTAATTCAGTGCATTGAAATATCGCAATTTTTAATAATTTCAAAATATTCCATACAACATATGCAGAAACCTCTTGCGTCATTTTTCCAAGTAGGTGCATGTTTCCAAGTTCAGTTCGGATTAAAGAAGTATCGACTTCAAATAGCCTCTGTTCGGATTACTGGATGTTCGGATCGGTAATCGTGAATTCGGATTATAGAGGTTGTACTGTATTTACAAAATGAAATGCGATTTCAAAATTTTTAAATTGGTCAAAATAAAGTACCTCGGTCGTGTGTCACGGGGGATCCGCGCCTGTATGTAAATCCAAAAAATATGAATGGAATGATAAATCACAACTACAGACTTACCATATTTTGTACGTTTTAGACAGGATTTATTCAGCAAAATTTTGAGGTGACGTCATTAATTTTTTAGGGGGGGATGAGCGAATACATTTTGACTAAAAATTTACCATGCCTATGATAACTTTAAAACATCTCCAAGATTTCATAAAGCATTCGATTTTGTAGTTACTGATTAAATCAATAAAATAAATTCACGCATTCATTAATTTGTTTGGGTCATCCTGTATATGCAAATCCAAAAAATATGAATGGAATGATAAATTACAAGTACAGACTTACTATATTTTGTACATTTTAGATAGGATTTATTCGGCAAACGTTTGAGCATCCATTTTTTGGAGGAGATAAGTAAATATATTGTGCTTAAAATTTTATCATGCTTATCATAACTGTAAACTATCTGCAAGATTTCAAAGCATTCGGTTTTGCAGATTCTAAATTAAATGTCAAAATGTTGTTTCCATAAACTACATGTGTAAGACTATGTTATTTGATACAATTTAAAACTCATTTACTATGTACAATTTTGAAGTGACGCCATCACATTAGTGGTGGAATGATTAGACAAATTTTGGTTAGCGTTTTACCATCTACATGATATACCTAATGTAAATACAAAATTTGACAACAATCGGCCCAGTACTTTCGTGTCTTTATAACAATAAAATAATGATAAGGTAAGGTTTATAATAATAACATTCAGAGTATTTTGTTCAATGGAGGCTCATGAATAATTTTAGTCAATCAAACAAATGCCTACGGGACATTCTTCCGATGTAATGTATTCCCGTTGATAATGTGCTGTAAATAAATTTTTTGCACTCTTAACCTTTTTTGATGACCTTGGAAGCACTGTCTAAACTCTTCAGACCAATTTTGATTACTTAGAAGGGCGTTTTCTTTACTAAATGACTGTTGGAAAAGGTGAAACTATAAAATAATTAAACGCATTATTCTTTGTTATAAAATATAATATTGCTGCATTGTGTAGAACAATATTCTTTGTTTGCGGCAGTCTAAATACTGTAAATTAAGTAAACACAAAACTCAAATACATGCATGCAAGTGAAAACAACGAAGCTAAGTAAAGTATAACATGAACAAGAAACTGGAGTCACGTCACATTTTGTGTTCTTAAATTATAAAAAAAAATCATGAACACTTGAAAATGTTTAGGGACAAAAACAAATCAATTACAACAAGCAACAGCCGAAACTAATTTAGACTTATCAAATACAACAAAAATATATTGTCGGCAGCTATAAATATTCTGGAACACTGCAATTTTCATTAAGCATCTCCTCCTTTATTGTTGTTAGAATTTGTTGCTAATATTACTGTATGTTGACCTCCTGCACTAACTTTAAAAACTGCTCTGTCAGTCAACTGCTTGCTTTTTATAAGAGTCGGTTCAACACAGTCATCTTCTTCTCCTGTTCCTAACTGGCCATTAGTTCCCATTCCCCAACCATACAACTCACCTGAAACTTAAACTGTTAGATACTGCGAACAAGTGCATGATAACTGCGAACCTTTGTCAGTGATTGCAAATGAAGTTGAGGATCCACAAGCAACATGAAGAACTTTTTTATCTTTCAAGGTTGGAATCTCTGTTAGTTCAATGGCGTCACTATCAAGTTCACCAAGACCCAGGCGTCCATATTCTTTTCTGCCAATGGCGTAAGTTCTTCCACCATCATCTAACGCAATGGTGTGATGATCCCCTGAAGAAATTATATTCCACTGGTGTTTAGAAAATTGTCTTGATAAAGCAGGCAAATACTGGCAGTTTTCGACGTTTTTAACTAAAAAATTATTATGCAACTGTTGTTTCTACTTTTGATTCGTGATTACCTTTTTTATTATTTTTACCTTCTACACCTAACTGATTGTAATTATTAAGTCCAAAGACATAAATATCATCTTTTCCGGCTACTTTAGCAAAAGTCCCATAAGAACCAGCCCAAATGTTATCAAAATGCAATTTCTTACTAGGATTTAAACTAATTAGAGTTGGTTGTAAAAGTTTGGCTGAAACTTCTGAATTAATTTGTTTTTAAACTTAGTGCAAATATGTATACCTATCTGACCCTTTCCAGCTCCACTTCTTGCATCTCTGCCACTTCCTCGTTTACTAGTACGTCCTAACTGGCCTTGTTCTGCACAACCACAAGTAAATATTTCACCATGGTTTGTTAAAAATACTACATGATCATTGCCAGAAGCAATTTTAACAACTTGTTTATCTTGTACAATTTCATGAGGAAGTTTCTCGTTCCCTCTCAAAGTTAAACCCATGTTACCATGCTGATCCTGACAATTACAAAAAAATCAGTGTTCCTGAACATGCAATATAATCTAAGTAAACAAATTAGGTAAAAGTGTGCTTAAAATACCCACTCTGAATGTTCCCCAGGCAAAAACTCTCCCATCTTCCAACAAAGCAGCTGTATGGGAATCACCTGCTGAAATCTGAATAACTTTTCCTGGCAATTCTACTTCACCTGGAATACTTTCTGCACCCTCACTTCCCTCTGTAACTCTTCCAAGAGCGCCTTCATCATTACAACCGAAAGTTAACAACTAAAATCAAAGCTATGTGTTATTTATTTGCTGTATACATTTTACTTTGATGTTACCTTTCCTTCTTTCGTCAAACAAACAGTATGCATGCCTCCTGCACAAATGTCCACAATTTCATGTTTTGTGTCAACTAAAGCAGGTCTACTTTTTTCAAAAATATCCGGTCCAAGACCAAGTTGGCCACATTCACCTGAACCCGTTACCAAAACAACACCTTCTCGAGTAAGTTCCGGCAACTTCGCGCTTTCCAAAGTAACTGAAACACACAATGTTAGGTTATGTTTATTCACATGAGGTAACTTCCTACACTTTGCTCTTTTTGGTTTACTGACTGCGGAGTCTGTTGTACTAGGACGGCGTTTCTTTCCTGCCATTGATCTAAAATTATTAATTCTTAAATTTTATCACTAACCAACCATATAACAACTGTAATACCTTACGTGCAAATTACCTTACCGATATGAAACAGAATTCTGCACACTTGTGAAAGTTAAAAATTAAACTCTCAAAACAAAGTTACACACAAGCAGTTTAAACTAATCGCCACAAAAATATTTCGTTTAATAAATAACTTGTCTTTCTGCCCGCCACCCGCATTGGCTTTGGTAAGTTTTGTGTTTTTACCATAGAATACCCTCACTATAGAATACGATCTCCAATGCTTGTATGTTGTTCCTAATGAACGCCTCTACTGGTGTGGTACGGAACTAAAATCGGCGCCAAATTTGAAAGGGAATTTTGCTAATAGATTTTTTTTTATATTTAAAGGGAAAACATTGTTTGTGCATTTTTATATGTTAGTTTCAAAATGCCAAAATAGGCTTTGAAACCAACATATAAAAAGACACAGACACAAACAGTACAATAAAAAATGTGGAATATTTTCCAAACAATATATTTAACCGTAACATTGAATAATTAATGAAAATACTACTACAAATAACAATAAAAATACCATAATATGACAAAATTCTAAAAGTACCAAAAAGTCAAAGAAAACAGTGCAAAATAAAACAGCATAAGAAAATATTTTGAACAGAAATCGCATGATAAACGAGATAATGAAACTGGCTTGCCCTGATAACTTACATTTGTACTTTTATTTAAAATAATAGAACAAATAGTACATACCTATATACACACCTAATTATTACCTATATACAACTTAATAAAAGTGTGTAGATTTTTAAAATGCAAGTAAAAAACATGTATTTGTTGCAAGCAGAATATTCTTAACAAAATAGCCACTACATTAAAATAACAAAATAAAGTCTGAGACTTTTTAAAACTAAATTAATTTTTAATCTCCCATCAGTAGAAACGCAAACTGCCTTTGCACTTTTTGTTCATACCTTAAGAAATGTGACAATACAATCACTTTGATAACATAACAATAGGTTAAAGATTTAGACAACTCAATGAAAATCTGGAGATTGCAATTTCGACCTCCTTAGGTATCACAGTACAATATATCTCGGTGGTAATGTTCGAATATTTAACCTCATATAGCCATCATTTTCTTCTGGTATGCACAAAACAAAGCTGATTAATAACCTGCAAAATGCAAAATTATACAAATGTTCTATTTTCTTTTAAAACGTAAATATAATTTTTGCATTTCTGTCTCCAACGAAATTGATCTGTTCGGTTCTTGCCTACCAAATACTATATTACTCAGTTTTTTCATGTATCCAAAGATAAACACTCTTACAAATAAATGGAAAAGTTTAGTTTTTAGTTCTTCGGTATGCAAGCATTCCTGAAAATCAAAATCAATTGTAGTTCGCAGGTGGCTTATAATCCTTCTAGAAAGAGAAGAATGATAAATTGCAGACGGTAAAAGAATGCGCAGGTGATTATGAGTCTCAATCAGAGTTTTAATCACCCCCACATTCGTATATTGTAACCGTCTGTTTTTATCATCGTACTCTTTCTTTTCCACCAAGCCATGATACTGTATATCTGGATCCCCATCGTGCTTTAAGTTAGATCGACAGATTTCACAGCCAAGTGGTTCTTTTGACATATGTTTGACTAGAAATCCGCTTATGTAGCCTATAACATTCTGGTCATAAAGTTTATCCTTCGTTACAGTATCAGGAACTGGTGGCGGTTTCCACTGATCTTCGACACATTTCCGATTTATTTGAAGACCAAGAAACTCCCGAATTGTGATCACAAATGAGTCCTCATCTTGTTCACAATTAGAGCCACGAGAATGATAGGAGCAAAAATTCTTCATCATCAATGACTTATAAAATGGCACGAATGCTCGACAAGTAGGATTTGTATATCGTCCTCCATATTGTCTTATTTGACCAAAAAAATTTTCCAACGGATCTTGGTTAAAAGCTCTTGCTGGGAAAAAGTTATAACCAAGTTTCGTTAGAGTTTCCTTGATAATCATAAAACCATTTAAAGTACGATACCACCCCTGTAAAACTGGGGGTTTTGCTCGGTCTCCAGCTTTACGTGGTACAAATCTCATGTTGCTGAACATGCGTTTCCCTTCTAGCCAACAAGTGTGATGGTAATTTTTAACTCCTACCAATTTACGTAAGTTCTTACCACCGCAGTCTCCAAATCCTCCATTAACACTGTCAAAGACAGAATCCATGAACATAAACAAATCGGAAGTGTATTGAGCATCAGGCGGCAGGATTCCCCCAAATGTCCGGCTGGAACAGAGATTTATGAAAGAAGAAACACTACGGCTAAAGACCTGTGAAGCATAACGAACTTTCATTTTTTTGCCTCTTAAGTTAGGCTTCACATGGTCTATGGTGATCTTTGGCATCATTCTTAGGTTGTCACCCAGCGTCTGATCTAATCCATATGCCTTTTCAAAAAAACTCCAAGAAGCTCTTCTCTCCACACCTGCTTTATCTACATAAAGCAGATCTTTGGTGAGAAGATTGTTCCGCATACTTTTTAGAAGATGAGGAGGATCAAAGAGAGGGACAACTTTGTGATCACCAATTTTTATCACATTCTCTTCAGTTTCCTCTTCATTTTCTAAAATAGCACGTCGCCTGGTTTCCTGCAAAAGTATATCGATTGCAGCACTGTTTGTAGTGCTTTGATCACAAACCGAAGCAATGATGTTTAAGCCTATCGCTGTTGCTTCTTTCACAATCTCTTTATAAAAACGGACAATGTTTACGGCAGCTAAAGAACTTTTACAAAAAGCAAAAGCAACAGGTTGCTTCCACCTTCCAAAAATTCCTCTAAGCATAAAGACGCAAACATGGTCTGCAATTTTTTCCGTCCTTGTTGTACCGTCATCTTCAAAACCCACAACTCTGTCCTCACAAGGCAAGTAGTCAAGGTGAGGCTGTATGGACATCTCATCGAAGATGAGAGTACACAGATTGTACTTGGGGTCCATTTTGCGACGTACTTGCTTTCCGAGAACTTCGAATATGGGTTTGTTGATACCCGGTTCTATTGGAACTCTATTTAGGGTTGCCCTCAGAGTGTCAATAGACGGCAACGTAAACATTTTAGACAGAAGTTTGTACGTCTTCGGGCCATGTTTCCATATGGCAATGGCGTCTGCCTTTTCCTCAAACGTAAAACTCCTGCCTTTTGGTTTACGATTTACGTTCCTAATCTGATTTTCGAAAAACCGCTGCTGAACAGGAGTCAACCCTTCTACGAGATCAACCAATCGTTGATCCCGAACAAATTTCCTTGCGGACTGTAGGTCATGTCTCCGCTTTTCAGCCTGCTTTTGCAAGCGGCCTACTTGTTTTTGCAGGCGTTTTGCTTCTCTGTAGAGTTTTACTTCGTTAGACGTAAAATTGGTCGTTGTCCGCTGTTTTACGCCTATGCGCTCCAAAATTTTACCTGCAAATGTACACAGGTATTAATTAATTGCATCATTTTTACTTTATGTACAGTTCTGTTCAATGAAAATTATGTTACATGCAGTTATAAGTTTCTTTAATATCTTTAAACAAATTATGCTTATCGTTATTAGCTCAAAATTAGATAGACAATCAAAAATTATTAGTAAACGAACATAAGAGTTTTCATTAAATTAAAATACATACGTGGAGTCGTTGTAGTTCTCAGAGAAACATCCCGGGTCTGTCTAAGTGGTGTACTTCTGCTTCCAACAAAATCTAAAAATAAGTAATAAATATTTGTTATTGAGACTAATAATATTTTATTTTCACTATTTTTAAATTCACAAAAATACATATTTAAAATCACACGGTGAAAAAAAATACTCCTAACGTATATCAATATACCTTAAGTTACGCCACTGCTTTTTCACCTATTTGACACATGACATATGCGTGACATATGGTTGGTAGAAACGCGAGATGACGCTATGCTGTACCACAGATTGTTTTATAAACACGTGATAAAGTTTAACAATCTACCACATTTTTATATGTTGTAATCGTTTGAAAATTTGTTTTTGGAATTACGAAATTATGGTATCAAACTTTGCAGTTTCTTACCGATTTTTGAATTACTTTGTAGCCCTGAAGGTCCAGCGCAAGGTAGCTCATTGACCCCATTCTCCTCTGTAAGTCATAATATTATTTTTTTTGCCATTTATTTTTTAGCATTATAATACCTCCAAAATTCAGTTGTCGGGCTTGAATGCCACTATTCCGTATATTTCTACGCTCCGGTGTAGTAGTTGAACCTATAAAATGGAAAACCGTTCATGTTATAGTAAAACACTTGTAATATTTACATACTTTGAGAATGTGGGGTTCGTCGAATACGTGGCGATAAATTCGCCATGGAGTAGAAATCAGGGCATTCCTTCCTTGGGGTCAGGAAGATGAGATCAGTTGTCTGGGGCACTACAGTGGACGCATCAATTTTACTTGCCTCCAGTGGTGATGTAAGTAGAGTATCATCTGTAAGTACACATGTCTTAATATTTGTTTCGTAGTGACTTTCAATTTGTTTTTACCTCGAGGAGGCAAAATCGTTGGTACCGCAGATTGATGCAGCCTTTGTGTACCTTGGACATAGTCTTCAGCCCGAAAATGTTGGTAGCAAATGTACCCTCTCCGATAAATTTGGTCATTTGTTAAACCCTCGAATTTTGGGTTATTGGAGGCTTTAACCCATGCCATAAACCTATCTAGACCCCGTTTCGGATGTGGAAACCTAAATATAGGGGCCATCCTGTTCCCACATTTATAAATTGCACAAGTTTTGTGCGTTTTTTGTGCTTCCATTCTTTTTTCTACAAACATTTGTTATAATAATGCTATAAACAATGAACATAAAGTGAAAACATTTGTATACTTACATTTTTTTGTACACTACACAACACAACAGCTACAAAATGCACTTAGCAACACGATAAAAATAAAACTGTTGTGTTTCTTTGGTGGTGTGGGGGTGTTAGGGGAAAGTAGTGTCGTGTGCAGGGATGTGAATTCTAAAATTTTGAAAATCCGCGCGAAGCAGCGTTTACAGGTTTCTTTTCATGCGACCCCTGGTGAGTGGGTAAGAAAATACGTAATGAAAGGTACAAGCGCAGCCTATACCACATTAGCTTCTATTGTAGGGTTTTCTATGGTTTTTACAATGTTACTGAAATAGGTTGGCAACTCCATTCAACGTATTTTATTGCCAACCATCTGTCAGCCTAACGGCAAAATTCCCTGTTTAGTGTATCGTGCGCTGGAATTTGGGTTTAATTAATAAATCTTCCTATTTAATTCTACTTTTCTCGAAAACGATGGCATTTCGTGTTCAGTTCGAAAATAATAACGAAATTGGTGTTTTTTCCAAATTAACAAACGCCTACTGTTTAGTGGCTATCGGAGGATCGGAAAATTTTTACAGGTTAGGAATGGAATTAAAACGTGTTTGAACTTCTCTATAGAATGTATTAATTGCAGTACCTTTGAGGGCGACCTAGCTGACACGATACCAGTTGTCCATGCTTCTGTAGCAGGATGTCGAATAATTGGACGAATGTGTGTAGGAAATAAAAATGGTTTGTTAGTACCAAGCACAACATTTGACACAGAATTGCAACACATTAGAAACGCATTACCTGATTCTGTGAAAGTGCAGAGAGTTGAAGAACGGTTGTCTGCACTCGGAAATGTTATAGCATGTAACGACTATGTTGCTTTAGTTCACCCGGACCTTGATAGAGTATGTTTGATAATTTTTTGTATCAAGATATCTTCTAAAGTCAGTTTTTAGGAAACTGAAGAAATCATTGCTGATACATTAAAAGTAGAGGTATTTAGGCAAACAGTGGCAAATAATGTTCTTGTTGGTTCATACTGTGTACTGAGTAACCAAGGGGGGTTAGTCCATCCTAACACAAGTGTAGTTGATTTGGAGGAACTATCATCTCTTTTACAAGTGCCCTTAGTTGTATGTAATGAGTTATAGTAGGTATAAATTTTTCACTGATTTTGTGTTTTTTAGGCAGGAACTGTCAATAGAGGCAGTGAAGTGGTTGGTGCAGGATTAGTTGTTAATGATTGGGCAGCCTTTGCAGGGATGGATACAACTTCTACTGAACTTTCAGTTATTGAATCAATATTTAAACTGAGTGGTGCTGGACCATCTTCAATAACATCCAAGATGAGGGCGAGCATCATTGAAAGGTTGTTATAGACACTGATTGTATTGGAATATTAACAATGTTATTGATTTTAGCATGTCCTAAGAAACCTACAGTGTCTCATTTTGCAAAAAATATAAGGAACAGAAAAAATGTGATATGGTTTTTGTATATACCAAGCAACATAATTTCAAGTATGATTATGTATATGTGGCTAACATTCATCATTTAGTAAATAAATCCCAACATTTGAACGTGTTACACAAATTTATTTACAACTTAAAAGTTCAATAATCCAAAATTAACTTAATAGTTATAGGATGTCGAAAAGTTGAATAACACTGATGTGACGTTTATCTTCACTGTAAAGATGTTGTTGATCAAGGAAACATTTAGTTTATAATACTCAGTGCCTCAGGTCGCAGTTTATCTGAACAGATCTTTACTTCAATAAAATTTGAGTTTTTCACAAGAAAACGGAAAAAGACTACACGATTTCAAGTTGCCATTTGTTGTGTTCTATTTACTGGAACCAGTGTTAAAAAAATTATTACCAACACACAAAACACTTGCTATCCTTTTATTTGTTATGTAATTACTCTGATCACCCAAATATTCCGCCAAAACTAGACATGCGCATAAAAAATACAACTTGCAAAAAATTAAAATTTGGCCATGAGCTGTGACCACGGCTGTCAAAATGGAGAATCTACGTTCTGTTTGGAAATGGCAAAATGGTGGAAAAGTGGCCTTAAATTAAAATTCAAAAACAATGGACAGAACATGGTTTACTCATTTTGTTAAGAGGGTGACGAAAAAATGAGTTTGCCCTCTGGAAAAGAGAAAAAGCTACGAAATAACTCCGAGTGCAGATAGTAGAATAGTCATACACAAAATAACTTAAAATAAGAGTCCAATAACCCTCTCCGCTGCTAGTCAATGCTGATATTAATTTAACTGACAATAATCTTCAAGTTCTGTCTCTTTCAATTTCGCTTTAAACTTTACGGATGCATTTTCTTTAAAAATTCGAGTGAGAAAACTATAAAACGCATATAACAACTTAGGGAAAATCATCCAACACTTCAGATACATAATTACTAAAACAAGTTAAACCTGAATAAGTGAATTTTTTAAAGAGTTTTGCGATAAATTATCAAATTAGGGGACGTGAATTTTGTAGAACTAAAACAACGTGAAACGAAAAGGTGTGCTGATGAATTTTACAACACACAAGGTTAGAAAATTGTCAATAAACTGATCATAGGGAACATAGGGGTTACTGAAAATCATCTTGTAGCGATGTATCTCCTTTGAGACATGCATTCAAGAAATTTTTGTCTAATAAAGTTATTATTAATATTATTACTTTAATTACATTCTTGGGTAGCTGTCCGTACATTTGGAAAGCTTAAACAAACAAAATATACTACTTGAAGACATTTCCCTTGGTATTCACAAAACGAGAAAAAAATGACAGATCCCTCGATTTTCAACTATTATTTGTTGTGCATTCCAACCTCTCCTACTATTCACTAAGGGTTGTATTTCGTTATTACCACGTGCGCGTAGAAGCATAGGTAATAGACTGGATTATCAAAATGATTGTTTAGCTTACGCTCAGGAAGTATTGTAGGTATTAGGGTCCATTCGACGAACGGCCAATTAGATATTTTCTCAACGTTTTATAATCAGTAGAGTAGCAGGGTCTCTTATTTCCGTCTGTCAGTCGTCTGTGTCGATATTTATTAGACAGATAGTCTCCTAAACTACTTGACCGATTGTTGTCAAATTTTATATGTATCTTAGGACTATCATAAAACACGAATCAAAATTTGTTTAATTGTCCTCACCAACAATGCGATGACGTCACCTCAAAATTTGGCATAGACAGTTTTATTTAAATTTCATAAAATATCTTACGTTTGTACTTGATATATGTATGAATCCCTTTTATCTGTTACCCAATGTCAAGATTTTGTTTAATTTTCATTTGATATCACTGTGAACAAGCACCATACTTTGTAAACAACGTAAGCTGTACTTTGTTCATTCTGAACGGCATACTTTATAAACGATGGACGCCGTATTTTTAATTTAGAATTGTTATTATTTCCAAAATGTTGGGGACGTCATAATAAAATTTTGTTATGGAAAAATTTATTTGAAACATACGCATATCATGAATCTTTACCTGTGCTTTACCAATCCACCCATACTTTGTTTTAACTTATAGGAGTTATCATAAAAAAATCACAAAATCAAATTTTATAAATTTTCCAAAGAACTAGATTTGTTGAGGTGTGCTCCAGGGGCGAGGGAAGTTCTGTCGAATACACTAGATCGATTCTTTTAAATGTGGTTTCGCGGCGTTTTTACATCCCGAGCGTAAGCGAAGAAAGTATTGTAATCGAGTCCGTCGGTCGACTCTCTACTTTTAAGTTTTCTCGACCTTTCATGACCCCTAGAGTACCAAGAAATAGGTCTCCTTTTCCTTCTGTCTGTCTGTATAAAATAACATAGTCCTACACATGTAGTTTATGACTCCGTGTTGAGTTTTTACCTGAAACATTTTGCAATTTAATTTTGAATCTGCAAAACCGAATGAATGCCTTGAAATCATGGAGATGTTTTAAGGTTATCATAAACATGGTAAATTTTTGATCAAAATGTATTTGCTCATCCCCCCCTAAAAAAAATGATGACGTCACCTCAAAAAAGTGCTGCATAAATCCTATCTTAAATGTGCAAAATATGATCCATCTATACTTGGAATTAATCATTGCATTCATATTTTTTAGATTTGCTTATACAGGGTGACAAAAAAATGAATGAATCAGTCAATTTATTTTATTGAATAAATCAAGAATTGCAAAACTAAATATGTACTTTGATATCTTGCAGACGTTTTAACGTTATTGTAAGCATGGTGAACTGATGACGTCATCTCAAAATTCTACCCGAAATGTGCAAAATAAAAAAAAAAGAGTTTTTAGTTGTGATTTATCATTGCATTCATATTTTTTAGATTTGCTTAAACATGTAGCTCAAAAAAATTAATGAATGAGTCAATTTATTTTATTGAATAAATCAGGAACGGTTCACTCTTTTTTCACAGAAAATTTTGGGAATACAATACTGTTATTTTTAATATTACACTGCACCAATCCAAATTGATATACGTGTCCTTGCAAAAATGTTAATGACGTCATCAGAAAATTGTGTAAAGAAAAAACTCAACTTGAAAATGCTGCATATGTTCCATTGTTCTCAGGTGGGAGGGAAGTTCTGTCGAAACAACTTTCGGCCATTTGTTTTAAATGTGGTTTCGCGGCGTAGTGTTTTGTTTTCTGATGCGAAATTTAATACACTACAGTATGTACTTATAAATAATAGTGTATTTTTCATCACTGAAATATCTAACATAGGAATGGGTAAAAATACAGTTAAGCTGCAGATCCAAATATAGAATTTGTTTTCTCCAAGTGCCTTTTGTTGAATATGCTACTGAAGGAACACCAACGAAACATTTCTTTATCGTCGTCCATCTATGGTCTCGTTGGGCAGAACTTCCCTTATCTCTGAAGGGAAATTCATTGAACGAATTTTTTTAGACAAACTGTCACATGTTTCTGCTAATTTAATTTTTTTACGATATCCTCTATATATTAAGAAAAATTGGGGTGGCTTATCAAATGGAAGTAGTATGTTGTGCTCTATGTTACAAGTGAAATTATTCTCTTACGAAAATTTTGTTGTGCCTTGATTAAGTTTTTATTTTATCTATTCACGGTATTCAATACCCAAAATGACAATCAGATATGACTAATACCGTATCAATAATAAGTAAATATTAATATTTCACAATCCAAATAAATGGAGATATGATTAATTCCGCATTTGGGTTTCCTTAGTTTAACAAAATTTGTAAATTAAAGTGTTTCAAGAAAGAAGTAATAGAAATGATGAAACAACAACAGAAAAGTTGTTACGTGTATGTTTTTTTGTGACATATGTTTTCACCTATTGCGAAGTATAAACAATGAAGTAAAATACAATGTTGTTTTTATTTCATTACAGTGGATACTTAATGAATTGTCTATGTTTTACTTCATAAAAGTAGAGAGATTACGTCAAATGTATTTTAAAGAACTCTCCACCGCTATATAATCCTTTTAACATTATAGTACTTTACTTAGATGCCAGTAATTCGTACAAACTTTTACAGATTTTCTCTAATCACATTTCTGGGGTCAACGCTGTACTTCAACTAATACTACTAAAACTTTTTTCTGTAGGAAAATTAATTAAAGTTTATCTCAATGTTGTTAAGCATTTTATTTGAAATGGTGTAGCGGCCACAAGAAATCAATATTTTGTGACATGTGCAGACTCCCTGTAGGGCATCAAAACATATGTTTGTAAAATGACAACTTACGTTACTTTCTTATAAATACGAACGCACAATTTATTAACGTGGTGGTAATTTACCATACACCAAAGTTTACGTTAAAAACTACTGATTATAATTAACTAAATAAGGTAAAATTAGCTACATTTAAACCTTATTGCAAAAAGTTTTTAGAATAAACTTAGAAATGGCAACATACCCAGGCATGAGTTTAGGTGGTGAAGTCAGAGAAAGTATTTCTTTAGATGAAGATGATTTAAGTGACGTTGAAGATGAAGTGTTTATAAGGGATGGTAAAAATAGTTACAAAGTAAAATTAAATACGGTAAGTTATGTACATACAATTTTCTTACACAATATATTGTAGCTGGCTGAGGAACTGAATGTGAAGAGACCTTTAATGGCCCCACGGAGGAAACTCGGCAAACAAGATCTTACATCACGATTAAAAGCTAAACCTCCATGTAAAGCTTTTTGTAAACCATGTTGCTACATATTTGCCGCTTTAAGTATTTTAATCGGTAAAAGTTTATTCCATAACGAATTAGACGTAACTATACATGTTTTAGGTATAATAGCATTAGTAGTTATTTTGGTATCAATATTTCCACTACCGTTAGATAGATTAAGGGATTGGATAATATCAAAATCAAAACCAGTTATCAGTCCAATTAAGCTACTACCGTGTAGTAACTTAAAAGTTACAGATGTGTGGGCTACCAATCTGCCCATACTTACTACAGATTCACCCGTCAGAATATTAGATTTGGATAATGACGGAGTTGAGGATATTATTTTTGGCTTTGGCACTGGTTGGTGCGACATATCTTGTCTTCACGATTTTATTTTTTACGTTTCAGGTGATAACTACAATGTATTGCCTCCAGAAATGTTCTGTCCAATATTCTTAGGAGTTCCTCCCCCCTGTGAAGGGGGAGTGATAGCTTTAAATGGAACGACTGGTGATATTGTGTGGAGATATTGGGTTAATGATACCATTTTTGGCCTTCAGTGTTCAGCAGATTTGAACAGTGATGGATTGGATGATTGTTTGGCTGTAGGTACAAAAGGAACTTTCATAGCGCTGAATGCAAAAAATGGTTCCTTGGTGTGGCGACAAAATAACAACAAAATGGATGTATTTGTTGCTAATTTTGTGCCAGATCAAAATAATGATAGTGTTGCAGACATTTTGTCATCCCATACTTCACTGAATTGTAAGAGTTTCAAGTTTACTAAAATTGTATTATGTATGTCATTAAAACTTGCAGCTAGGGGTAAAGGTGGCCATTTAGTGTTAACTTGTGGAAAAACTGGCAAAGAAATAAAAAGAATAACAATACCATATCAAGTGGAAACGTTTTTCATGCCACAATTACTGAAAATAAATGATACTTATCATGTGATGTTTGGAACTGGGAGTCCCGTAACACCCGGGAACTTAAGCATAACCGCTCTTGACAGTTTAATGAATGGAAATATGGTATTTATATTAACGAAAAATTAATTTCCTATGTTACGTCTTAATTTTTAGTCAATTCGTACACTTTACGCAGATAATTTTAAAGGCGTTATAACACAATCTGTGCTGGTGGATATAACAGGAGACAATGTATCTGATATAGTTACAGCTATGTTTAATTCCACTGTGGTCGCTCTAAATGGACTAACATTAAAACAGATTTGGAACTACACAATTCCAAATTCCGAGAGCAATGTTACACCAACTCCTGGTTATTTTAACGACGATAATGTTACAGACTTTTTAGTAATTTACGAGAAATATGACAACATCCTGAATTACAATTATACGGAAACTTTTATCCTTGATGGAAAAACGGGAAAACCAATTTATTCAAAATCAATAAGTGGAAGCGTTGCAACACAAATGAACGGGCTATCTTTGGGAATGGAATCACATGGTTTTGACATGTTTCTTTTCTGGACTACAGAATGTACTAACATAGATTTTTACAACAAAAATAAAGTTGAAATGGAAGGTACGTTTTGAATATAATAAACGACGATAAAAAAATTTAGTTTTAGAAGTCAACATAGACAATATTGTTGATATGTGTCGCAAACAATTCAATACTTCAAGCATTATGATGTTTAATGCTCTCAATCAGTATGATCAGCCACCGGGTTTTGAAATATATAAGTCAGGTAAGATACATTTATGGAAAAACAACACTAGAATAAACATAATTTGTGCATTATACCTGAATACTGAAACTGTATTAATGACCTAAAGTCCAGTGGGTAGGGTTTCTTATCAGTTTAACTTAATCCATTTTGCTACGTACAGTGTAATTAATAACAGTACACTGTTCCCAGAATTTCTGAGAAATGAGGTAACCCGGTTCTGATTTGATCACTAAAATAAACGACTTCATTTACTAATACTTTTGAGACGTCCTGTATACACAGTTTTAAAAAATATGAGTTCTTTGCACATTTCAGATTAGATTTATTTCACAAAATTTTGAGATGTCGTCATAAGGATTTTGGAAGGGATGAACAAGTAAATTCTGACTATCGATTTGTAGCTTCTAAATTACAATGTAAAATTGTATTGTAGATTTTTTTCCCCCCAAAACGATTAAAAAAGAGTTGAAAGTATTTCTTTAGCTTTTAATTTGTGATTTACTGATTTGATGTCTTTCATGTACGAAGTGTCTATAAAAGATGGTCTTATCCGTGTTTGGCTGGTAAATTTGAAGCTTTCATATTAATATAATAACAATAATTTTAATTTTCTTTCTTGAAGGCTGTTCATTTATAGATAGCTCGTAATTGGGGCTTATTTTAATGACATACAATTTTTCCACAGTTAATAAAACGTATTTAGAATTCAATAACACTAAATCACCCTTGAGACAAATTAAACATTACTTTATGCAACATCACAAAATACAAATAATGCGAAACGAGGGTCAGTCTGAAGTAGATGAAAATTATTTAGACGATTCGCAAAAAATAAACGTGCACAAATATGGAAGCTCTAGTTTCAGGCATAAAGACAACAGACAGGGAATTGCCATGAGTAATGTAAATAGCAACGTTGAAACAAACGATAACGTAAGTAAAAGAAGTGGAAATTCGATGTGAATAAATATGTGGGTTAAATTAATGTTATGCCGCTCAATTAACCCGACGAAATTTTTAGCCGAATGAGAAATTTGAAAATGACGACAGTTTGCCATTACCACCTCAAATGAATGTTATGAACGAACGTCCAGATGAAGGTACCGACTATGTTGACGATGCAGAAAATCCAAATATTCTGAATCAAGAGCCAATATTATACGATAATCCGTCTTTTAAAAGTAACAGAGATCCCAGAAGTAAAGAGGAAACAAAAACTTCACCTGACTCAAGTGAACAAAGCTCGAGTAAATCAAAGAAGAAAAATCTTTCAAATTCCAAGTACGGCATTTATGATTACGAAAATATAAAAAAGTCTCGAAATCGTCTTCTCAATGATTTAAACAACTTACCATGGGACATTTTACGCGACACTTATTATAAAAACAGGGAAAGTCAATTAAGAAAAACTAAATTTGAACAACGGGATTTAAGCTCCCACGTAGATAAAATCAAAGAAAATGAAGAATTGAAAAATATTATTGACGAAGAAAGGAAATCTGCCGAAAATACGTCGTACACTTTATGGGACTTGGAATCGGAAAAAGAAATACAAGATAAAGAAAACGGTTACTGGAGGGGAAAAAGAGAAATTAATTATACGTTTGCTGGTATACGAAAAATTACATCTGTTGGTAAGTTGATTATAATTTTTAAAATTATAATAATGTTATGTGTTCAATGCCATGTCATGCTTTATAGGTGCTATCTTAAACTCAACAAATACAACAAATAACGCCGTTGATGTTGTTTTTATAACATACTGGCAACCTTCGAGATTTAATGATCAAGAAATGATAGAAGAAGAAATTAACGATTGCCTTAAGGAAAAACTTGCAAGTGGTAAGTCATTTTTATTTCAAATTTTTTTTGTTGACTTCTTTATTTGATAGATCAAGCTCATTTATATGTAAAAAACACAGCAAAAGAACAAAAAGACTTATATATAACTGAATGTAGGAATGAATTAGCTAATTTGAAAGATCATTTTGAATATTTTAATCAAATTTATCAACTTAGTTTAGGTCAAATGACTGTGTATAGAATGAGGATCGAATGCGTATGTGATGTTCAAAAAGCTGACGAACGATGTGCCAAATTTTTACCTCAAAATGAGCAAGGTTGGCCCACGTATTTAGGAAAACTGGGCGATGGAGTTTTTCCCACCAGAGATTAGTTCTAGTTGGTGCTTAGTTAAGTTTGATTTTTAGGAAATTAAGAAGTTTATGTTTAAAATGTATAAATATCACCATGCATGGTTTTATAAAACTGTAATTATTGGTAAGTTACAATACCTTAAGATTTGTAAGACAATCTCCAGTTTTAGTTTTGTAAGTAAATATCATTAAAATATTTACAAATAAATTTATTTTCATTTAAGTTGTTGTACTGATTACCTACCTAGTCCTCGGTTTTTTGGTTAACTTCTACTCCATCTTCAATACCTTCGTCGTTTTTTGGAGTTTGTAATGAAATGGGTAACAGTTCACCCCATTTTGTTGCTCGTGCGCAATGATATAAACTCCTATGTCAAAAATTACTTGAAAAAACAAAAATAATACGTTATTGTTGTGCTTACTTGCCGTGCTTTGACGCAGTAAATATGACTTCCTCTAATTTGGCATTTTTTGTACACATTCTACAAACTGTATGCTTTGACCTTACTAAAGTCTCCCTCACAATCCTAGGCCACTGCGGATCTGCAGTGTCTCGTTCACCTGACAAAAAATTAAGTTAGAAAATAATGGTGTCTTTTTTATATAAAATTTTTACAGAAGCATAAATCATATTTTCACAATTTCTTCGAAATTTTGCAAACACGCTATGTAGCATTGCACAATTTTTCTTAATTTTACATATTAACCAACATCAGATTAAAAACACATATGGACAGATTGGACTAAATCAATGAAATAAAATTAGCAACAAACCTTTTTTAAAAACTATGTATGAGTATCTTTCTTTTCTCCTCAAACTTACTGCACCAATGGGAAAATTAAAATAGTAAGTTTCAAAGTTACATGGTGTACCATCATCTGTTGTAAATCTAGGACACACTTGGTCATGAGGACACTAAAAACATATATTTAATCCCATGTCTATCTTTACAACAAAATTACATACAGGACTAAAAATGTGACCAACACTAGCGTCATTTTTCACATGAAGAATAAAATCTCTTAATTCATTGATAATCTGAAACAGGGTTATCATTACCAGACACGTGTATATACTGCTATGACTGTGTTTTAGTATGCCAAAAAATTGTTTTTTAAATTAGCTTATTTAATGTGTAACATACAGAATTTCATCTTAACAATATGTATGTAGAATTAAAGGAAAGTAAACTTCTACAGTACATATAATTTTTTTGCATACTTACTCATAATACATAGTTACCTGGAAACCAGCATTAGACCCTTGTTCGACTATAATAAGATATTTTTGAGTTTTATTCCAGAGATTAAGTACAGTTTCTAAACGAGATTGTTGAGATGGTAATTCAAGAAATGTATATGCAGAAACAACTAAATCATATGCCGTCTAAAATATGGAATTTGTATATTCATATATAACTGTAAATAGCAAAGCACATACATTTGTAGCTGGTAAAAATTGTCTGTAATATACTCCTCTTAGTTCCATCTGATTTGTGCCTTTTCCTTGTTGTAATAAAATTTGAGCTAAGTCATTCATTTCACTTGATGAATCGACATTAAAATATTCGAATAAGTGTTTCTTCCAGTACAAATTTGCTGCCCTTTAATTAAACAATGAAAACTGAATCAGTATAAATTCAAAACTAATGTATTTTCAGTCAAAAAAACCCACATCTACTCACCAGGTTGCAGTACCAACTCCTGAACCAAAATCAAATAAGCTCCTAGGTTTAAATTCACGATCTCTTTCAGCAATCTCTAAAAAGATTTTTGCTAAAACTGAATACTCTGCTGGAGCTCTTGATACTAAATACACCAAAGCATTATATGTGTTGTAGTTAACAGGTTTCCAGTGATAAACTTCCCTTTTTAGTATACTATTAACTTTGTTAGAAATTGCCTCTTTAAACTTTATTCTTTCATCTTCTGTTTGAAATTCTGGAATCTTGGTCTGTGCGACTACTCTGTCATGAATGTTCTTTTTTATTTTTTTAACTTCTTCAGTTTCAATGGGGGGCCTTTTATCTTTTAAATGATTAATTAATGACTTGCCATCCTCAATTAGGGTTTTGATTGGAAAGTCTGCAATAACATTATTTGCGGCGGTTATGAATGATTCAGGTAACAAAATTGTCCTTGGTTTAAAAACTCCAGGGTGGTTTTTGGGTTTGTATGTGTTCTTTTGTATGTTATCGAACACATTTTCGTCAGGAATAATTTTAGGTTTAGCACTTGTGCCATACTATAATATGAATTATTATCACATGTGATATTACAGAAAACAATCAATACATACTTTTCGTAAAATATGTTGTAATGTTTTCCATCTTTTACAACTGGTCATTTTTGTTTATTTAGATTTATTGAAAACACTACAAATTACAACACATGTAACACCTGAAAAACGACTTTGGAAATTGAGGTTATATTTACATCATCTGACTATCTGACATTTGACAAAATGCCCATGCTTCTTTTTGGCGGTGTTGCCAGATGGCGAACGGCGAATTATTTCATTCACAAACCTAAAAAATCATAGATTTTCCATTACGTTCAGTTCATTTGTTGATCATGTTGTGTATGTTTCATGTTGAAAATGTCGTCATCTTGAACACAATGTAAATATTTTATGATAACTAAAATTTCCTCATTATTATTTTTTTTTCTCTTTTTGTTTGCTTATGAGTCTGTTGATTTTCTTCTTTCACGTTTTTAAGTGAATCAATTTCTTCTCTTAAGTTTAAAATCTCCAATTTAAGTCTCTCATTCTCTTTTTGGAGTAGAACACAGTTACACTTTTCTTTAACTAACCTGCTACTACTAGCGTCTTCAATTTCAGGTATTAACTGCAATGAAATCATATAATTTGATTGAATGAGCAAATATCAATATTAACCCTACCACGGTATCAAATGCCTGAGTATTACTTATTGCGCCTTTCTTACTTTCGTTCCATTCAAAAACTGATGGAAGAACCCCTTTACGCAAATCTCTTCGGCTGCCAGCCATGAAGAAATCCTTTTCTAAAAAATGTTCTGAACATACCTGTAAAAAAATTCATTATATGAGAAATGTTGGAGAGTGACATTTAGGTATTTATATTTGCAATACGGAATAAGTGAGACACCTACTCGTAAATATGTTGCATTTGTTATCAGTGGTAATCGAACAAGTTCCAACCACTCCCTTTTGATCTCCTCTTTTCTGGGAAACAAATGAAGTGAACGGTTTTTATATTGGGGTTTATTTGCCCTTTTTTTGGTAGGACACCCAGGAACACAGCAACTCATAGTTGAAAATTATATTTTGACGAAAACCTTAACACACAAACAACAAAAAAAACTTGCACTTTTTGAAACTATGAACGTAAACAAGTAAACGAACAACACTATCGTGCAACGCGTGCAACTAATCGCGCACCTACGTCATCTGTCATGTTATATTTTTCCCATATATCTAATAGTACTATATTGCTAACTGGCCTCAAAAGATTCCGAAAACATAACGGCAGAGCAATATATCGGACCTCTCTGTCTCTCTGTGGTACTAAAGAGTACTGCGCATGCACTCGTACTTGGTTGATTTGTAGTGGATAGCGTGACTGGATGCGTTTTGACATTTCGTACTTTCACTTCTATTTTGTGTACATGCGCACAGACCCTCGGTACTCTTGTAGACAAAAAACAACATCCTCTGTCTCTCTCTGTCCGTGAACACCGTTTCTATGTTACTTCTGAAGAGTTAGTAATATAGTACTAAATATTAGATATATGGGTCCATTCGTTAATTTTGTATTTAATAACCTTAGAGTAAGGAATCTATTTTTTTACAATGTCTATGGTATTCGAAATATACTCCTGTGTACAAGCAGAGATAACAGAGATATGACAGCTTTTGAATGCTCCATAAGAAATGCATGGGAGCGAAGTGAACACAGAATTTGACGTAAAGGACGGTTGGGGGCGCAACATTTGTGGTGGTAAACCTGATGTCCTAACATCAATGTTAAATGTTACTAAATATATTACTAGTAAAAGTGACATAACGAACGAAAAACACGAACTCTGAGATAACCTCAATTAAATATGATGCGATGGTTTCAAATTATAAAAGAAAAGTCATGTTAACTGCATATGTATGTATGTATTTATTACAGTTACATACATTTTAACAAACAATATACTATTGGTAAGTACAGGAATAGTTCTATAAAAATAACATCGATAAGTAAACCGATGATTTTCTGCAGCTATAATTAATTATTAATCAATGGAACTGGCAAATGCTCTATAAATGGGACAAAATAATTAATTTCCTCTGTTTTTTAGGTTGCTTCTGTAGTTCCCTATTATGGAATTTCAATGTATAAAATATACGTAATCGCACAAATAATGACAAAAAGTAATCAAGGGGGAGATTACTACATGGATGCTATTAAGGCCAGCTGATTTTTAAGTTGTCTAAGAACTGGAAGCAAAAGTGTATTATGTTCAAATGAACTACTGAAGGCATTTTCTAATTGTTCAATGTAATTTTGCAAACTGTTCATACGGAACATTAAGATTGCCATAAGATAAAGTTTTGGAATTGTGGGCTTGGAAACGACAATAATATAGTCTCTAGAATTTCTGCCACATGCATTTGTATATTCACAGCATATCTGAGAAGAGTGTTTTAAGCATACATCCACTGAGTATCCACATATTTATCGTAAGATAGTTTGTTCAGCTAAATCAAACTCTTTGTACTCTATCCTATCTATTTTTAGGGCATTATGAGGTGGTTGGGAATTATTAATTATGGTGGGGATGTTGTACCTCTCACTTAAATTGGAGATATCTTCATTAACAGATAAGAATTGTGGTGTGATCAGATGATTAAAACAGGACTTGCGTTCGTGATGTATTTATTTTTTATGTTGTCGGTTCAGTAGATAAGGGAAGAGTGTTAGAGTCTGTGATTTTGAAAATGAAAAGACAGGTCGGTAGAGAGCGGTGAAACGGTTGTGTCGAAAGGGTTGTTAGAAGGTACTTGAAATCTTCGAAGGATAAGAATTATTGGGAAGAGCGAATAAAAGATAGGTTTTACGACATGCAGGTGGACGAAGAGAAAGTTTCAGGGTGATAGTGGTTGGAAGTCAATAAATACAGACTATACACAAATATTACATGTTGCACAATTTTGTGGGATTTGTTAGCCCCCACAAAATGTTGCTAAATCAAAAGCACAATTACCAGTTGGGTTGTGCTGCATATATTTTATACAGAACAATAGCTTGTATTTGCTTATATTCTAATAAAGTGTGATGTAAATAACTATTAATAATAAGAGGATAAAAATAATTTTATTAACACCCGCACAGAACTAAAAGTGACTAAAGTCATCTTCGCAATGAAAAGGTAACATTCAATATTATAACTGTATTTGTACCCCTTAAAGTGTCGTCCTTGAATTTCAACGTTAGGTTGTAATAACAATCGTCTAATGGGCTAGAGGGTACTTTTATTATTATCCTCGCTATAAAATTGTACAGTTTGTGTTGTGTATACACATTTTAGAGTTTTAAAGGATAAGAAAAGTTAATACAACCATTTTGAGTAATTTAATGGTTTTTTTTTATCCATTTACTATTAGTCAGGATGTAAACATTACAAAAACACCAACAAATGTTAGATATAATACAATCATTTTTCGAATAAACTTAATGATGAAATCTATGAAATGTAATTTTTTTAATCTTGTCTTTTTCCGTTTATGAGGAACCTAGTATTTTTGGAAGAAAGATTAACCACTTTTGGTATATTCTTAAGATTGGAAATATCCCTGGTAATCAAATAGCCGCGCTACGAAAGTTTCACTCAAATTTAAATAGCGCGCCCGAAAGTGACGGTTTGGGGCGCAGTACATAAGGACTATTGTCGCTTAATTTCGCGAGCTGTCATATCTCTATTATCTCTGGTACAAGTCGATTAATATAGAAACAGAGATAATAGAGATATGACAGCTCGCAAAATTAAGCGACAATAGTCCTTACGTACTGTGCCCCAAACCGTCACTTTCGGGCGCGCTATTTAAATTGAAGTGAAACTTTCGTAGCGCGGCTATTTGATTACCAGGGATATTTCCAATCGTAAGAATATACCAAAAGTGGTTAATCTTTCTTCCAAAAATACTAGGTTCCTCATAAATGGAAAAAGACAAGATTAAAAAAATTACAATCATTAAGTTTATTCGAAAAATGATTGTAAATATTACATCTAACATTTGTTGGTGCTTTTGTAATGTTTACATCCTGATTAATAGTAAATGGATAAAAAAAAAAACATTAAATTACTCAAGATGCTTGTATTAACTTTTCTTATCCTTTAAAACTCTAAAATGTGCATACACAACACAAACTGTACAATTTTATAGCGAAGATAATAATAAAAGTACCCTCTAGCCCATTCGACGATTGTTATTACAACCTAACGTTGAAATTCAAGGACGACACTTTAAGGGGTACAAATACAGTTACAATATTGAATGTTACCTTTTCATTGCGAAGATGACTTTAGTCACTTTTAGTTCTGTGCGGGTGTTAATAAAACTATTTTTATCCTCATATTATTAATAGTTATTTGCATCACACTTTATTAAAATATAAGCAAATACAAGCTATTGTTCTGTATAAAATATATGCAGCACAACCCAACTGGTAATTGTGCTTTTGATTTAGCAACATTTTGTGGGGGCTAACAAATCCCACAAAATTGTGCAACATGTAATATTTGTATATAGTCTGTATTTATTGACTTCCAACCACTATCACCCTGAAACTTTCACTCACTTCGTCCACCTGCATGTCGTAAAACCTATCTTTTGTTCGCCCTTCCCAATAATTCTTATCCTTCGAAGATTTCGAGTACCTTCTAAGAACCCTTTCGACACAACCGTTTCACCGCTCTCTACCGATCTGTTTTTTCATTTTCAAAATCACAGACTCTAACACTTTTCCCTTATATACTGAACCGACAACATAAAAAATAAATACACCACGAACGCAAGTCCTGTTTTAATCATCTGATCACACCACAATTCTTATCTGCTAATGAAGATATCTCCAATTTAAGTGAGACCACCATAATTAATAATTCCCAACCACCTCATAATGCACTAAAAATACATAGGATAGAGTACAAAGAGTTTGGTTTAGCTGAACAAAATATCTTACGATAAATATGTGGATACTCAGTGGATGCATGCTTAAAACACTCTTCTCAGATATGCTGTGAATATACAAATGCATGTGGCAGAAATTCTAGAGACTACATTATTGTCGTTTCCAAGCCCACTATTCTGAAACTTTATCTTATGGCAATCTTAATGTTCCGTATGAACAGTTTGCATATTACATTGAACAATTAGAAAATGCCTTCAGTAGTTCATTTGAACATAATACACTTTTGCTTCAAGTTCCTAGACAACTTAAAAATCAGCTGGCCTTAATAGCATCCATGTAGTAATCTCCCCCTTGATTACCTTTTGTCATTATTTGTGCGATTACGTATATTTTATACATTGAAATTCCATAATAGGGAACTACAGAAGCAACCTAAAAAACAGAGGAAATGAATCATTTTGTCCCATTTATAGAGCATTTGCCAGTTCCATCGATTAATAATTAATTATAACTGCAGAAAATCATCGGTTTACTTATCGATGTTATTTTTATAGAACTATTCCTGTACTTACCAATAGTATATTGTTTGTTAAAATGTATGTAACTGTAATAAATACATACATACATATGCAGTTAACATGACTTTTCTTTTATAATTTGAAACCATCGCATCATATTTAATTGAGGTTATCTCAGAGTTCGTGTTTTCGTTCGTTATGTCACTTTTACTAGTAATATATTTAGTAACATTTAACATACATGTTAGGATATCAGGTTTACCACCACAAATGTTGTGCCCCCAACCGTCCTTTACGTCAAATTCTGTGTTCACTTCGCTCCCATGCATTTCTTATGGAGCATTCAAAAGCTGTCACATCTCTGTTATCTCTGATAGAAATGTTTTATTTGGCTGCTTTTCTTGGTCAGTGACTATATATAGTCACTGTCTTGATGAAAAATCTTAACGGAGTCTTCTGAGTTTATGACTGTGCTTATGATATGACTCAATTATTTTATTCATTCTTTATTCCTTTATTTAATTAATTATTATAAATACACTGAACGGCAAAAAACCGGCCACCCTGAAAAATTTTGCAAAAACAAACTTTAAAAAATTATTAATTTAACTATTGACACATAATGTATAAATTAGCAAAAAAAGAAGACAAAAAGATGCAGAATTAAATTTAATTTAACAAAAACAAAAACAATGTAATAATTTTCCTAAATTAAATGTACGGTTTCATCGCTAGAGATATCGTTGACCTTCGTTCATACTCCACCGAATTAATACTTCTCTATACTAGTTACTTATCGGTAACATTGCTTTCAGTGGTGATACAATATGTAGCAGGTTGGTAAGCGAAGAAAATATAAGCCGCTCTGTAGTCTAATGGTCAAAGCACCTGTCCGGCAAGCGGGAGACGTGGGTTCGATTCCCACCCCGGCAGCAACATTTTTCTTCGCTTACCTTCACCTTCGTTGGCCAAAATTCAGCCTTTCTGTTACGAAACCTGTTAAAGAGAAAATATTGTTACACAAGTTTTCTCCGAAATTTGAAAATAACAGCAAAATTAACACATGCGCGGATTAGAACAATGACAAAACTCAAAAAATTCCTTCAACTGTGGTTTTTTGTTCTTGAGTATTTTACTTCTGATCACATTAACACTGTGTCCCTTCATTCATATTCGTTCTAACGTGGGGAAAGAATTCTACGCAAATTAGGTACCAACTTTTAACATATTTGTATCTCGCTCGCAAAACTGCAAAATTTGTACTGACACGCGTAAATCAACTACAATTTCTTAGGCTCAACGTGCTCAACCTTATCACCTGGAATTTGGTAAATGTTCTTATTTGTTATCAAGTTGAGAGAATGTTGTAGATTTTTTGAACAAAAAATTTAGAACATTAAATATTAGAATTTACCAAACCAAATTTTGATTATAAATGATGCAAAGCAATATACAGGATGATTCTTAATATATTCGAAATACTTGAGGAGTGTGTTCCTCGAGACACTCCCTCGTCCAGTCTTTTTCAAATTATATTATACTTCTAAAAACCATTTAAAGGCACTTTTAGATTTAGGATTTATCAATAAAAATTTTGAAAAGACGTCATCCAGTTTTGAAAGGGTATAGACAAAAATATTTTGATTAGCGATTTACGATGTTTCGGTAACCTTTATTTTTATAGGATCAAATTTAAAAAATATGTTTTTGTTGGATAAATAATTATTCATTCCTAGAATATGAGTCCCGTCAAATTTCATTGGTGATTTTTTTTATTGAATTGATGCATATTAATATACACAGTTATCAGCCAAATCTTGTTTCTATTTTTTTTTCATAGCGCGCGATGCAGTGAGATGTGAGAAGTATGATACTTCTCTGACATATGTACAAAAATTACATACTATGAATTTAATTTTGTCCTATTCTTTGATATGTATTTTTATTTGTTTATTATGTTAGCCAAAACCCCTTATCTTGATTCGCATTCAAGAGCACAAGAAAAACCATTTTTACCTCTTGAGCGTAAGCTAAGGAAGTATTGTAATCGAGTTGGTGGGCCGACTCCCTACTTTTACGTTTTTTCGACTTTTCGACCCCTAGAGTACGAAGAAATAGGTCTCCCGTTTTCCTCTGTCTGTCATCTGTCTGTCTCTCTGTCTGTCGTCTGTCTGAATTTTTATTAGACAGATACACTCCCACTTGACTCCTTCTTGAGTTTTCATCCTAGACATCCAGATTTTTGGAAAAAAAAATCAAAATTGTATAACATCATTTTGCAATTTAACTTTGAAACTACAAAACCTAATACTCTGGAACCTTGTAGACGTTTTAAGGTTAACGTAATGATGGTAAATCGTTATTCAAAATTTATTCGTTTATCCCCTCCAAAAAATTGATGACGTTTATCTCAAAATTTTGCGGAAAATGTGCAAAATATGATGAGTCTATACTTTACTTGTGATTTTTCATTGCATTTATATTTTTTAGAATTACTCTTCCCGAGTGGTTCAAAAAAAATTAAGGAAGGAGTCAGTTTATTTTATTGTTTAAATTAGGAACGAATCACTCCATTTTCTCGAAAATTTTTGAATACAATACCGTTATTATTAATATCAACACTACACCTATCCAAATTGATATACAAATGTTTGAAAAAATGTTGATGACGTCATCACAAAAGTTTATAAAGGAGAAACTCATTTGAAATACAGCCGTCGCACGCTTTTTTACATTTATTTTAAGGTTGCATACATATCTTTATTTTAACTTCTAGGAGTTCTCATAAAAAAAAATAAAATTCGCAATATTAAATTTCATAATTTTTCGAAAAAACTGTATATTTTTTATTATATTTTAGGGGAGAGGGAAGTTCTATCGAAATAACCTTCGACCAATTTTTTTACATTGTGACTGGTTATAGTTTTTTTTTCCTAAAAAGGCGGGATTTATTTGATAGCATTTCAGAGGCGAGGGAAGTTCTGTCTAATAACGTGAGACCGGTTTTTTCCACACATCTGAATCTCTAAGGTTAAAATGTCAAACCACAAACACAGAATTATGTTATTCTATGAATTTAAATAACATTTACTATACAAAATTTTGAGATGACGTCATCAAATTGTTCGTAGGGACGATGAAATAAATTTTGTTTGTGTTTTACTATTTAGACGATATTCCTAAAATACCCATACATAAAAAATTTCACAACAAACCACAGATGATAGACGGACGGCAGATAGACGGAAACGGGAGATGTATTTATGATATTCTGGGCTCCACGAAACGTCGAGAGAACATGAAAGTAGCCGTTCGCCGGATGGTCCCTATTACAATAAAAACTGTTTTCTGATTGGCTACTAAAATCAAATTTTATAATTTATCTAAGAAACTAACAGCTTTAATTGAATTTCATTTCCCATAAAAATATTCGACAATGTTTCTCTTGTGATTTACTGAGTGTTGTAAAAAAACTGCCCTTGTGTTTTATACAATTTGTTAATTCTGAAAATATATTGAATACCAACAGCCAAAGTTAGCGACTGACATTAAAAATTTGTCTAAAGTATTTGTACTTAGGTCGAGTTCCTTAGACAAATTCTAAAATTTATTTTTTTTACGATAATGCCTGTAAGTTAAAACAAAAATAAAGGTGGATTATTAATGATTATTATATTTTTTCTCCTATATAATTATAAGTCACCGTAAGAAAATTCGTGCACAAAGATTTAAATAAAACAAGCTCATCAGATTCTTGTGGTTACCATTCTCATTTAATCTTTTCTAAATTATGGTTGCTCTAGCTTTGTGGAAAACGAATCCATCTTGGCAACGCTGTTTCCCTGCGTGGAATGGTAATAGTGGAAAATGAATTTACCAGCTGTGCTAGACGTCGCGACGTCGACGTCGTCTTCTGACAGGAATGACGGAAATGTCAACATTACAAGATAAATAAATAAAACCATAAACTAAACTACAATAATGAAATTTACCGAACATCTTTCGGCTCACATCACTCCAGAATGGAGGAAACAATATATACATTACGAAGTAAGTTGTTTCACATCTTATATTTACGTGAATCATAAATTTTTTATTTTTTTCTAGGAAATGAAAGCAATGTTGTATGCAGCCGTAGAACAAGCACCGTCGGCTGAAGTGGTGGAACCGGAAATTTTGACTCGATATTTCGCCAAATTTGACGAGCAGTTCTTTTCTTTTTGCGATAAAGAGCTGACCAAAATTAACACATTTTATTCTGGTTGATACCACTACTCTTGAAAAATACCTACGTACACAAATATTTTTTTAGAAAAGCTCGCGGAAGCTACTCGAAAATATGCGGGTTTAAAGAGTGACCTCACTGAAGCACAGGATGTTGAATATCCAAGAAAGAAAAATTCCATTAAAAATAATATTTTAAGAAAAAGAAATGTACCTGCAAAGAAAATACAAGAACTGAAATTAGCTTTTAGTGAATTTTATTTGAGTTTAATATTGTTACAAAATTATCAAAATTTAAATTTTACGGGTTTTAGAAAAATTTTGAAAAAACACGACAAGGTACGTCCTAAGTTAAATCTAAATATATTTCTTATTAGATTTTTAGCTATTAAATGTAGATATCGGTGCAAAGTGGAGGGTGGAATATGTGGAAAGTTCTCATTTTCACACAAATAAGGACATTGATAGGGTAATTAGAGAAACTGAAGCTACAGTAACACAGGAGTTGGAAGGAGGAGATCGTCAAAGGGCTATGAAAAGACTCAGAGTACCACCCTTGGGCGAACAACAGATTCCATGGACCACTTTTAAAGTTGGTTTATTCTCCGGAGCGTTTGTAGTTCTCATGATAGCGGTTATCATATCTGGTAATTACACAAAATTTAAGACTTGAACTCTGGCAGAAAGTTTTTTCAATCAAAAATATAATATCTATTTGGGTACGAATTTTGAAATATTAAATCAACTGCAATTATTACAAGTTCAAAATGTACAATGTTAAAAATTTCATTTAAAAATCACATCATTTGAATATAAAAGTGGAAACTGCAACCGTATTAATTAAAAAAAACTCCCATCACGAAACAACCTGCCAGTGTTCTCAAAAATTTATCATAATGAATACTTTTTCAGCTATATTCCACCAACGTCGAGATGATTGGCGAATTGTTTGTCGCTTGTATCGAGGTCCTTTTTTAATAATTGAGTTTTTATTTCTTTGGGGAATTAATATATATGGTTGGAGGTCCTCCGGAGTTAATCACGTATTGATTTTTGAAATGGACCCAAGAAATCATCTTTCAGAACAACATATTATAGAAATGGCAGCAATATTCGGTGTTATATGGTCTGTTTCCGTGCTTTCATTTCTATACAGTTCCGAATTGAGCATTCCAGCTTACATTAACCCTTTTGTTTTGGTGGTTTTGATGTTGGCGTTTCTTTTTAATCCTACACGAACCTTTAGACATGAAGCCAGATTTTGGGCTCTTCGAGTTCTGGTATGTATATATTTATTTAATTGTGGAAGATTTATTGCGAAAATGGAATTAGATCGATTGAATTGAATTGAAAAACAAGTGAATGACATACATATGTGTAACATAAAAATTACAGACTTGTGAAAAATTACCTATTGTTGATTACGTAGTACATAATATAACGCGTATGGATGGGAGTTGTAGTCATTTCTTACAAACATGAAAGTTCAGTTTATACAAGTGAGAAAGGAGGACTCCAAATTTTCCGGTGATCTGAAATTAATAAGTAATGAAGACGTTTGAACAAAGCATTCAATTTTTCTCAAAGCCTGCAATTTTAGGAATAAATTTGAAATTTTCTACTGATGTTATCAATAAATTATAGGAGTAATATTTATCATGCTTCCGATATTTTTATAACCAAACGTATTTTTCGATAGTTGGTGTCACAAGTTTGACATACATATGTAGGTTAAATATCTCCAAAACTGTTAATTACAACTGTTTGAAACGTCGTGTAAATTCCCGTCTTACCACATTTGTGGTTGGATTGTTTAGATTTAGGTTTAAAAATGATAAGATCTGTTGCTGAAGATACGTTGCGAATTAAAAAGGTCGCATATTAAAGAAAAATGTCTTTGAAGTACAACAACTTAAGAGGGATGTTAGGTTATAATTTTCTACAAAATTTTGTTTTATCTAGAGGTCTTTATCTTTTTTAAAACTTAAAGTATTTTATTAAAACGTAAGCAGAAAGAAAGAAAAGAGTTAAGTATATAATTTTTAGAAGTAAACTAGTATAAATTTAAATGTACATTTTTTTAAAGATATATATACAAAGTTAAAAACAGTGTGTATCATGACAGACAAAGTTATATTTAGTTAAAAAAATTAAATGATAGTAATTTTTAAGGAACATGAAAAAGTACGTTTTAATTATTTTCTTTCAATCTACGTGATAAACTTATAGTACTCTTCATGTATTCAAAATAAGCGATGTAATAGACGTATCATAACTCGGAAAATACAAAAGTGCGGATGTTCTACACTTTTGTATTTTCCGAGTTGTGCCTACGTTAGGAATCATGAACCTAGATCACAGATCGTTAACTAAATAGACGTAAATACTTTTGTGAAGAACTACTTAGTCAATTTAAAACAACTATCCCTTTTAAAGAAGGTTGACGAACATTCGTTAAATTAGACTTATTTGGCAGATAGGTGAAGAACATGTATTCAAATTTTTGCGAATAAGGCTGGCAAATCAGAAACTTTCTTTACAGTACCAATAAATTTTCAACTTACAAAAAATATCAATGAGTTTGTAAATATAGAAAATTCTAGCTCAGTTTTATTTAAAAATTTGTATGATTTTCTGGCTATTACATATTATGTTTGTCATCTTTTAATTAAGAAAAACATTGAAAGATGTCACCTGCAAAAACTGGAAAAGTAGCGTAATTACACAAAAACCCAATGCACGCCATATTTTCACTATGTACAAAGAACAGGATCAAAAACTAAGGTTTAAATATGTTACAAAAAAAATGTAATATGCTTAGGTGAGAATTATAATAATAGAATAGTCCATCAGTTTTTAGGTAATTTAGGAGAAATTGCCAATATTGCAAAGAACTTAAAAGAACAATTATTAGAAAATTTTACAGTTTGAAATACATAAGCCCAGAAGCGTTAGTAAGTATAATTCAAATAGATTTTGAAATTAATACATAATCGTGGTTTCACCAGGTTTTTTTTCGACTAGTTCGTAATTAAATTATAATTTTTATTAAATATTTCGATAAAAAAAATATTTGGAACTTTTATTATTTTATAATTGTCATCAAATATATGTTTTGCATCTTTGATTTTTGTAAAATCAAAAATTAAATTATTGAATATAATAATTATAATTTGGTGATTAGTGTTTTTAATTCATGCAGGAGATCGTACAGCGCTGTTATCGCGACACTAAATCGTGGTTTTGGAACGTCTTCCTATTTGGTTTAATGGTCTGTAACCTCAACATTCGTCAAACTAATTTTACTGAGTATTTCCTTATCTGTCGCTTATAAAATATAAAAAAAATTGGTCTAAAGAGTTTAGACAGTACTTCCCTCGCTGTCGGAAATATGACGACTATTATGTTTTTTTTCTCATTACTTTTTTGCAAGGATACGATATTGGATAGATGTAGTGTAATACTAAAAATAAAAGTACTGCATTCCCAAATTTTCGGGAAAATGAATTGGGTCGCCTTGAATATTGATTTATATTCAATAAAATAACGAAACAGTTTACTCACGTATGCCGCGTGTATTAGCAGAGGCTACTCAAAATCATTTATGTATAAGCATTCTTAATTTAAGACAACAAGCGGTGACACTTGTTCAGATTGTACACGTGAGAGTCAAACAGAGAAACTGCAAACAATACCGATGGTCGCCCAGAATTTTTTATTGCTTCGACTTCCGCTTATTATACAAAACATTGGATTTTATTTTAATTTTTGATGGTGTCATTCACAATTGGTTGATTATAACTTGTCTATACCACATTCACGGAACCTTGTCAGCGCAACAAAGCAAATGCACGTCTGTAATGTTAAAGTAAATGTAAATAAGAGTGCTACGCCTATGTTTCAAACGAGTTTTTACTTTACAAAATTTTGTATCTATCAAATTGTGTTGGTGCAATGTAATACTAATAATAACAGTGTTTTATCTCCAAATTTTCGGGAAAATGGAGTGAACTATTTCTGATTTAATCAATAAAATAAATTGACTTATAAATGGAGTGATAAATCACAAGTACAGACATATTTTGTACATTTTAGATAGGACATATTCAGCAAAATTTTGGGGTGACGTCATCAGTTTTTTAGGGGGAACGAGTAAATACATTTTGATTAAAAATTTACCATGCTTATGATCACTGTAAAACATCTCCAAGATTTCAAAGCATTCGGTTTTGTAGTTCCTGATTAAATCAATTAATAAATTCACCCATTCATTAATTTTTTTGAGTCAGCCTGTATATGCAAATTCAAACAATATGAACGGAGTGATAAATCACAAGTACAGACTCATCATATTTTGCACATTTTAGATAGGATTTATTCGGCAAATTTTTGAGGTGACGTCATCAATTTTTTGGAGGGGACAAGTAAATATATTTTGAATAAAAATTTATCATGCTTATTATATCTGTAAATTATCTGCAAGATTTCAAAGCATTCGGTTTTGCAGATCCCTAATTAAATGTGACGTCATAATTTTGATTTTTTTTCAAAAAATCTGGACGTTTCGGATAAAAACTCAATTCGGAATCATAAACGACATGTGTAGGACTATGTTATTTTATACAATTTAAATCTGGGATGGCAGGCAGACGGACAGATGGACAGACTGACAGACAGACGGAAACGGGGGACCTATTTCTTCGTCTTTTAGGGGTTATGAAAGGTCGAGAAAATGTAAAAAGAGAGAGTCGGCCGACGGACTCGATTACAATACTTTCTTTGCTTACGCTCGGGAAGTAATAAATATAATTATTACAAATACTATTTTGTAAAATACTTTTCATATGAACAGATGCAGATATGCCTGTGAGTTATTAACTGCTTACAGACAAATCTGAGGTTGATTTTTGCATGGATATACGCAAGTATACTTACATACAAATTTATCTAATTTAAAAATTATACATTTTGTCCGGCCATTTCGTAATAAGATTTATATCGCATCAATTTATGTGTCACTGTATCAAGTACACAGTGTAAATGAATACTGATAAGTGATGTATTTAGGTATTGTTCCAAAGAGTCAGATAAGTTCTCTGCGAATCACTAAAAAGTGGTTCGTCATACATTAATAAAGATGATAATGATTAAATTACTGTAAAACTTAAAACCGATTTTGATGCGTAACTTCTAAAGGAAAGAGCTTGTGCGTTTTTTTTAATTATGTACTTATGTCTAGTATAAAATCGTACATTGGTATTCTGCCTTTAGAAACATAGACTTTTTGTGCAATGTTGATAAGATTAAATTTACTGCAAGCAAACAACAACATACAAAACCCATAAATTGTATAGGTAACGCATTACAGAAACATTTTCTTCCAATAAAAACACTTAAATTAAAATCAACAGTTTCATGAAAACGGTCTACACAGAAAGAGTGAGAAAACATAATAAATATTTTTGCACTCATGACCTTTTTTGATAGCTTTCGCGCATTCACCAGAGTGCGGGAGGTCGAACTTCCCGCACACGTGCATTTAACTTCCCGTTGCCATGGTAACCTTAAAATACTCGGGTAGTGTCAACATTGTGACGTGTTGACGGCGCTGTCAATGGCGTTGTTTATAAATAACTCACAGTTAATCTCTTCAGTTTAAAGGTTTATTCGTCGCAAAAAATATTGTACACAACACGTTCGTGAGCCTGCTTCCCGCATTCACGCAAATGCGGCACTCCCTTCGGTCGTGCCTTAAACAAGCGTTCATGCGGGAAGCAGGCTATCCCGAACTAGTTGCGTAAATTACTATTTTGCACTCATGATCTTTTTTGATGGCTTTCGTGCATTCACCAGGGTGCGGGAGGTCGAACTTCCCGCACACGTGCATTTAACTTCCCGTTGCCATGGTAACCTTAAAATACTCGGGTAGTGTCAACATTGTGACGTGTTGACGGCGCTGTCAATGGCGTTGTTTATAAATAACTCACAGTTAATCTCTTCAGTTTAAAGGTTTATTCGTCGCAAAAAATATTGTACACAACACGTTCGTGAGCCTGCTTCCCGCATTCACGCAAATGCGGCACTCCCTTCGGTCGTGCCTCAAACAAGCGTTCATGCGGGAAGCAGGCTATCCCGAACTAGTTGCGTAAATTACTATTTTGCACTCATGATCTTTTTTGATGGCTTTCGTGCATTCACCAGGGTGCGGGAGTTCGAACTTCCCGCACACGTGCATTTTAACTTCCCGTTGCCATGGTAACCTTAAAATACTCGAGTAGTG